CTTATTACATGCAAAATGACTAAAGAAAGCAAGAGGACAGGGCCAAGAATGTCAGCTATTATGTTGCCATATTGCTCAACAAGTCCACTTCCACCATAGGATAGGACAGTGGTTAACAAAACAGCAAAGAACACGATAGCACTTCATTTCAAAGCCCTCTTAGAGGTGAATTATATCGCAGGTTCTCTATAGTATGGAAAGCACCAGGGAGGCAAACACAGAATGCAGGAATCGGTAGGAAGTTCCGTAGCTGTGAATAGTGTTCAGGAAGAGGGAAGCACAGGCGCACGTGGAGACTCGAGTCAGGGTGTCAGGACAGGCCCGGGCCGCTTCTGTTGCTTATGACTTGTGCATGAGAAAAAGAGATTTTTTTTTTTTAACCTTTCTAGTCTGAAGTAATTGACAGTAATCAGGTAAATGTAGGGCGGGGAAGTAAAAAGGAGTAGGAAAAATGAGAGATAGTGACCACCAAATTGCAAATTCAGGTGACCAAAATCTAGGTAATTCAGGGGAAAGCTAAGTCTGGCCAGTCTGACGTCTGACATTCTGTTTGCAACCAGCACCCAGAGGCAGGTGAGACTGGTGACTGAGCTCTTCCACATTTTGCCAGTAGAGGTGACAAATGCCTACTGGCCTTAAATTTAGGAAGTAGCAGTAGTATTGCTCGTGAGCAAGTGACCTTTGAGCCATTATCTGCTTCTGAGCAAATACAGCCTCCCTGTTCATGGACACGTTCTGTCAGTGCCGAGAATTTGGGGCAGAACAAATGTTGCACAGAACTGTCTGATGTTTAACCTCCGTGGCTCTGGGTAGGCTTTGGTTATGTTGTCTGTCAACAGGCCGCTCTCTGGGACGTACCAGGTACTGTGGACGCCTTCCCGAACTGTTTTCAGCTATTTGGCTCCTTCACTGAGCTGAAGAAAAAAAATTAGTGCTGTCCCCATAACATGTCTGGGCTGAATATACTTGTGAGAGTACTGAGCAATCAGTGGCTCTTCTGATCTTTATTACCACTTTATAATTAAAAAAGTTTTAGGAGAGTGTTTTGTTTTTTTAAATCCTAATATCATTGTTGCCTGTGTTTGCCTCACAAGTTCACACATGTGGTAAGCACGTTGATTTTCCGTGCAGTGTTAAAGATGATCAGAGATGTTAGCAGATTTCAAGCATCTCATGTATATGCAAACCAATGGCCTGCTCAAAAATGACAGTTGCTCTGAGAACTCCCAAATCCTTCTAAATCTGTTTTCATTTAAGATAATTAGCTGATCTTATCTCAGCTGTTGATCGCAGTCTCTGAATTTCATTATCACTGGGTTCTAAGAACAAGGCATGTGGAAATTACATAGGTGGGAAACATCCCAAGTAGAAATTCCTGAAAGCAAGAATAACAGCAGTCATCAAAGCTCACTTCCCAGGCATTGTTAAAGCCATCGGGCTTTGTTCTAAAGCTGGGAAAAAAGCAGAACTTTATTTATTATGCAAGTATAAAAACGTATCATGGCATAGCAGTAAATAAAAAATACAATGCATCAATTAAAAGTAACTAAGGGCCTATTTTGACCTCAAAAGATCTATAAATATGGCTTAAGAGTAAAGCAGTTGGAACTCACTCCAGGTTTCCGGATTCCCAATCCACCACTCTCACCGTTAAGTCAGGGGAAACTGCCCTGCTGGGAGGATCCAGGGATAGATCAGAACTAATCCCGGACCCTTGTAGCATACGTGGTGCTTTCTTTCTGGGGAGAGTTTTGGCTCCTTCAGTTCCCAGTACAATTGTGAGGATTTGTCTGGCTGTGCTGGCTGATGGATTGGAAGATCTCTTTCCCTAGAAACCATTAAAAATCATAACAGAAGTCTGTCTTGGGGGTGCAGCTAAATTGCCTTCAAGGAAGGAGATTAGAAGATACATGGATTTATAGCTGGATGAACTGTTAGGTCTTTCATTCAAACAGCAGCCAAGTCTCCTAATCTGTTACTTCCATTATCACTCCCGTCTTCTGCTTACATTTAAATAGAGCTTGTTGGAAAAGGGTGTCTCCTTTATTTCTCAGGTTGTGGTGTCCCGAACTGTATCATCCACCCCTCATGTGAATTTCCGCCTGGATTCCCGCCCTGTGTCTCCAGAAGTGCTTGTGGAACACTCATCAAACCAAAATGGCTACACTCTGGTTATCACTGGGAACAAGGTAAGCTTGTCTGACAGGGACTTTCTGTAGCTGGGGCTCTTCCTGAATAGGTATTTATAGCTAGTATCATTTGTTTTGTTTTTTTACAATTTCTCTCATCTTCCATTCCCATCTCCTCCATTAAGCTTTTTCTGAGTAGTCCAGAGACTTTCCAAAGTAAAGATAACTTTTTCTTCATGCATGATGAGGTTTAAGGGAGGTTTTCCTCATAATGAACACTTTTCCTTTAGTCCTGCATTTCTCAAAGAGAAAAAGCAAACACAGAGAATGAGAATTACAGTCTTGGGGTAGAACTCTAGTTCATGCAGATAAATCCGGGAAATGTGTGTTGCAATCTGACTCCAGCCAGTAATCCCTTTTCTCAGAGCGAGAGATGTGCATCTTGGTGTCAGACCTCACTTAAAATTTTCCAGGAATTCAAATGTGTCTTCCTACTGCTTACATTGTACTGTCTATTTCAAAATCATCTTGGTAGGCCAGGGGTCCCTATTCTATATAACCTCTACCTTTGCATGACTGTGCTTATAAATTCCTGGGCAGTAACGTCCACTTTTGTCACGTAGAAACCAACAATAGAGGGAAGAAAGAAATTTGATTCTTTAATTATATAATCGTGATTACATGATTTACACATAGGTGCTCTCTCTAGAAGACTGAGGTAATACTTACGTGTCGCGGACCAGGGATTTAGCTCGGGTTCAGGGTCTGCCTGTCAGGCAGGTCCTGAGTTTGATTTCCCAGTACCTGAAAAAAAAAGATATTCATATGTAGGTTTTGTGTATTCACAGCATTTACGTAAGCAAACCGAGTGGAAGCCCTTCATACCGCTTTTCTCCACAGATCACAAAGATCCCCTTGAATGGCTTGGGCTGCAGACATTTTCAGTCCTGCAGTCAGTGTCTCTCTGCCCCGCCTTTTGTGCAGTGTGGCTGGTGCCACAACCAGTGTGTGCGATCGGATGAGTGCCCCAGTGGGACGTGGACACAAGAGACCTGTCTGCCTGCAGTCTACAAGGTGAGAATCTCCGCTGTCGTGCATGATTTGGGGTAAATACAAATCTCACAACTGTAAAAACAATCCCAAAACTATTTTACTCATTCAGCTGTGAGACAGCATTTGAAGCACTGGCCTGCCCCTGGATTATCCTTGGGTAGCGTTCGGGCCCCTCGGAGTCCTGCGGCGGAAGGCCCTGCCTCCTGCTCACTCGACCGTCTCCTTGGGCAGCTGCTTTTCCTTGGTGCCTTGTGCGTGGCTCATGAGTGGTACCGCTCCCTGTTTCTTCATCCTGGGGCCTGATCCCTTCCTCCTGACTCACCCGCTCTCTGACTCCTCCTCACCTGCTTTACGCCAGCTGCCCAGACAGGAGTCTGCACCACTAAGACAGCCTTTCTCGTTGCGTAACCAGGACCCCTAGGTGAACCATGCAAGCCCTCAGTTCCAGCCATGCAAGGGCAGGCGGGACAAAAGGTTTCTTCCTGTCTGAGACTCGGAAGGCAGCCCTGTGTCATCACACGTGCCTTGGAAGTTGTTTCCCAGGAGACGTGGGAGGCAAATTGAAGGCCGACACCCATGGGCCACTGTGAATGTCGCCTCAGTGTATGTGAAAGAGAACTGAAGGCCCAATTGATGCGTGCACTGGCATCAGCAGTGCTGTCAGCCCTTTTATCCTTTGACCCACTGCAAAAATGTTTATCGAGAGAGTGTCCCGTGGCAGGCCTTTTAAACGCGGGGCTGTGTAGGCCGAAAGAAGATAGGCGTGTCTCCTGCCACCAGCGAACTTAGCTTCTGCAAGTGGCCACTGGCCGCAGCAGCCCAGCCACGCTCTCCTCTGTTGCCTTTCCTCCTTACGCATACGTTTGGTGCTGAAAATCACCTCGCTAGTTCTTTTATAACTTCTTGATCCAAATGCTGTACATTTTGCTTGAAAATACTGCCCTAGTGAGGACTCAGTACGTATTTTCTCTGCGTGCCTTTCAAACAGACTTCAGCAAACAGCTTTTGTGAAATACGCACGTTAAAGGTCTCTGTCACCTGGTTCACACACAAGTGAACAAAGTGTGTGAGTCCAAGCAGGCATCACTCCCAAGCATGTCTGTGCTCAGTTAGTTACGGTTTGGGGTGAGATTACAGTGGGGGACCAGACTTTAGACCAAATCATTTTCTGTTAGGTGTGACAATTATTGAGCCTTGGCTCGATAATTTCAGAAAATAAGCCGAAAGAATAAAGCAAATTGAAGTGTATTCTGTAGTATGTATGCACGTTTTTGTTGTCCTGTGTCCTTTTAAAACCTTCATGCACTCTTATGTATTTTTTCATGTATGTATTTGGTGCAGGGTCTCACTACCCAGCTTGGACTCATAGTGATCCTCCTGTCTTCAGCCTCCCCAGTGCAGGGATTACAGGTGTGCGCCACTATGCCTGAACTCAGTCTCTGGGCTCTGTGTACCCCAGGGTCAGGGCCAGTGTGGCATGCAGGACCAGGGATCAAATCGCAGTCCCTGCGCTTGCCCAAGCAGGCGTTTAGTCTGCTGAGCTATCTCACCAGCTCCATGCACTTTTATAAACATACAAAGTTGGCAACCCAAGACATTAGAAATTGGAACTCTTCTTCATGTTTCATACAAGACATATGGGGTGTGGGGTTGTGTCTGTCTGTTCACTCACACACACTTAAATCAAAGTTTTATTTCAAAAATAGCCAAGTTGGTATTTTAAGTAAATAAAGCAGGTTGATAACCAGTACAGAAGAATTTCATTTTAGCCATTCTAATTTCTTTTACTAATCATGAAAGTCATATTGAAATGATCAGAATGCAAATAATATTTCAGAATTTTCTGGAAGCAGAGAAACTCTCCTATGGTTCAACTCCCTCCTCTCTCACGTCGTCTGGCTCCAGCGTGCCACAGTTGGCAGCTGAAAAGGTTGCATTGTGTCATGCACACGTCTCCGTGGCGTGGGCTGTCGTGAGAGGGAACGCAGTGCATCTGAGTCCATAAATCCCTCTCGGTTCACAGTTGTTAGGAGGATTTCATGCTGGGCTCGACCGTGGCATTGAGCATTCTTACTGCAAAGAATAGGACAGACTATTCATCTTTTTCTTATCTGTCTTAAACTTTACATGCACAACATCCAGCGATGGATAGGGTTTCATTCGCCAGTACATGCATATTAGCCTGCTTTTCAAGTACATCATGTTCGGTGTGTAAAATTCTTTGCAACTCTAGATAGGAGAAAGACCAGGACCGTAAGCCCGTCATTTTGTTTCATGTGTGTCATCTGATCTTGTACTTAAAGGGCGATGAAAAATGCATCTGAAAAGGAAGGGCACTTCCCTAATACATTCTGAATTTGTCAGTAACACGTCACATCATATAGGATTGAAGTCAATCCCAGTAAGACAATAAACTATTGATCAGTTAATCGGAAGACTCAGATAAGAAGCCGCAGCAGTATCTGGTAGGGGTAGGAGGGCTACAGACAGTATATGGTCAGGGCATATTTGTGAACTTTTTTTCCTACCGAAGCAGAAAGGAGGCTTGCACTGCAAATTTTAATGTTTAGGGTTTTGGTTTTTTTTTTTTAGATTTCTCATATTTTACCTTAAGAGTTTAACAAAATATGATCATTTCAAAATTTCATGGAGTTAATCAGAGTACAAGACATGGGCATGAGGGCCGGCGAGATAGCTCAGTGGACTGAGCGCCTGCTTAGGCAGGCGCAGGGACCCGGGTTCAATCCATAGCATCACATGCCACCCGGCCCCGCCCCTGAACACACTGAGCTGGCCACAAGACTGGGCGTGGTGGCACATGCCTGTAATCCCAGCACTGGGGAGGCTGAGACAGGAGGATAACTACGAGTCCCAGCTGCATATGAGACCATGTACCAAATACACTTAAAAACAGATAGGCATGATATCTAAACAATGGAAACAACAATACACTGTGTGTCACCTACTGTGTGTCACCTACTGACCTATTTGGAAGCTGGGTTTCATTGTTTGTTTACCTTTTTTCTCTTTAAAATAACAAATCAATAGATAAAAGACCAGTGGAGTGGGCCCCTCATAAGCACAGTCTTTCACCTCTGAGAGGATGGGCGCTACTGTGTGGCGCTCTCTCCCCTCTGCAGACAGTAGGAGACACAGCCCCTGCGGCTTCCCACTGGACACATGTTCTGCCCACAGGTGTCCCCGCGCTGCGGGGAGTTTGCCGTCCCAGCACTGGGACGATGGCGTGATCCGTGACCACTTCCTTCTTTTTCCCCGGAAGAGCGGAGATTACCCTTTAAGCCAAGGGAAAAGTGTCCAACCCAGACGGAAAACCCAGGCATGGCCTTTCGAAGCCTGCATCTAGTGGAGGTTTCCTAGTACTCGTTTCTCTTGCCAGTGCCCCACTTCAACAACTCTCAGTGTCTCCCCTCGCATCAGTGCCGGGTCCCGTTGTCTTTTGCAGAAGGTGAGGATGTGTGTGGCGCGACGAGTGGCAGCCTTGGTTTTCTTGCATAGGAGAGGGACAGAGGCAGCAGGGGCAGGCCATGTCAGCGTTGGGCAGCTGTTCTGGGTGGGGAAGGCTCCTCATTGGAAGAGGGGACAGCAGCTGCGTGGTGGCCTCGGGCTGAGGCGGGACCTGCGAGGGCGAGATCTCTTCTTCTCTGCTGCTGGATTTCTAACGTAATAATAAACAGATTTTTTTTTTCCTCTAGCAGTTCTCTTTTGGCTAGACATAGAAGAGGTAAGTTTTCATGAAAGGCATAACTGTGTAATGGATTTTTATGGGTAAAATGGCTGTCATGAAAGCATTCAGCTAAGACTGGAAGCGAGTTTGGTAAGGAGGGTAAGTTAAGACTTTGATTTGTGATTATTTACTTAGGAAGGCTGGGAAGGTTTGCAACTGTGACTTTTGCTGGAAGTTTCCTTAATTACACACTTGCACAAGCTGGGCTTTAGCAAATACCTTTGCTGGTTTTTGAGTCGCCTCTGTCTTGGCGCTGTTTTCCCACCATTGTACTTTATAGCACAATTTACAATATGCCCCCCAAAAGAGCATTTCCTTTCTCAATTGTCACAGAGCTACCCAGGAGAAACTTATTTTTAACTTGGAAATGTGTTTTGTTTAACTACTTTTAACCTAAGAACAGTTCTCTTACAGATGTCATAAATGCCTAGTGCTACCTTATGTCATAGTTACCAAAGTTTTATGAAGAATCCAAAATTTCACATTTAACACACTAAAAGGGACCTTGCAATACAATGAAGTTTTATTTATTAACAATTGAACATGAAGTTAAAAAAAATCTTAAAGATGAGGTGTGAAATAGTACCAGTGGAGGTGACTGGCAGGCCTGCTACAATGCTGGTTTTTCGTGCACTCCAGCTCTGTTTTATATATCTAATAGAAATAACATACTATATGTATTAAGTGTTATGCAACTGTTTTTTTTAATGTATTTGGTACCGGGTCCCCAGGGTCTCACTACACAGATCAGACTCACGATGACCCTCCTCTTTTCGGCCTCCCAAGCGCTGGGATTACAGGCACGCACCACCACGCCCGGTCTCAATCGCTGTTGCAGCGCGCCCTGGGGGCGGGGCCGGCACAGCACTCGCCCGAATCCCAGCCGCTGTGCTCTGCCCAAGCAGGCACTTTAGTCCGCTGAGCTCTCAGGCCAGCCCAGCACTTGACTTTCCGTCATGTACATTCTGTACATCAAACCACGACTACGTAAAGAGCAGTGGAAAGTCTAAAGCCATAAACGTGAACTAATGATAGTCATGACGAAGTAGATCAGCTTATAGGAATAAAAAAGTAGATTCACTTATTTAGTAATTCATTTATTCAGTTATTTATTGGTATTTTTATAAGGTGCTTAACGACACTTGAGTGCCTGGCAGATAGGTATTCAGTGTTATGACAGCCGCTGAACACAGCTGTGTCAGCACAGTACCGAGAGGCGTAGCGTGACCGTGTGAGTGTCCGCTGTGGCTGGAGACCCCACCGCAACAAGAAAGGGGCGCACACAAAGCACTCCCACCAAGCACGGCGTGCTGCTGATGGCGGCTGGCAGGGCCATTGCCGGAATTTGGGTCGGGAGTGGATCTGTCTGGGTCCTACCCATGGACGTGGTATAACCAGCTACGAGCACGTGAGAGTCTGGGCCCAAAGTCCGTGCTGCTGCCCAGTTGAGTCCCCTTCCAAGTGGCCCAGAAGATCCCTCGTTCTTACCCAGGCTGACTCTGCTCTTGTTCCATTTCTGGATCCGAAAGCAGCGTGTTCCATCACATGTCAAATAACTTCACATGTCAGATGCTGGGAAACTGTGACCCTTTTCCTTTAGGGAAAATTGAATTTTTACCATATTGTGGGAGAATTTTAGGCCATTGGAGGATATATAGTTTTTTGCTACTTGCCTTACCCACATACTGAAACTATAACATTGGATTTTTTTGTAAGTTCTATATTGTCCTTGTAGGTTTTCCCAACTAGTGCGCCCATTGAAGGAGGGACCACATTGACCATATGTGGCTGGGACTTCGGATTCAGGAAGAATAATAAATTTGATTTAAAGAAAACCGAAGTATTCCTTGGAAATGAGAGCTGCACCTTGACCTTAAGTGAGAGCACAGTGAATAAGTAAGGACCTTAAGCGGCGGCGTGGGGTGTGCTTGGAGACAGGCGTCGTCTTTGAATGCTTGTTCAATGTTCTCTGAAAGCCAGTGTCTTGAATTGAAAGAGAGTCTTGGCCCGTCACGCTCCTTGTGTACTGAGTTTGAGTCAGCAAACCCTGTTAGAAGGATGAGTTAAGATGCAAGAGACAGCGCGGGGGTGGGGAGGACAGAGGTCTTCAGCAAAATGGAATGAAGCCCCTAAAATGACTCAAACCCCCAGATTTATTGAGGAACAACAAAGGCATAGAGTTTCTCTGAGCGCAGATGTTTGTTTTAGGCGGCAAGGCCCAGTGACAGTGTGGCTGGGTAACTCCCACCTGAGGGCTCTCGGGAGTTCCTGCAGAGGCCCGAGCGGGCAGCATGTCCAGTCTTCAAGAGGCTTCAAGTCCTCCATGTTGGCAGTCTTCTGCCTCCAGAGGCAGCCTAAGAAGATGTCAACCCATGGCTGTCACAGGGGACTCTACACTTGGGTATTTGCTTTGTTGTTTTAATCCTGTTATAAGGATTAGGGAAGAAGAAAGGTGGTATGGCCTGGTTGGAGAACAGTGAATCCAGCACTTAGGGAGCTTTTGCACCGTTACTGTAACAGCTCTGCAAAAAGTACCTAGGTATGTTTAAAAGAAAGGTAGTCTAGTCTTTAAACGTAGTCTCAATAGGCTATTTCTATAAAGTCAACAAGCTGCTTTATACGTGTCTCCTCTTGTAAATTCATCTGCTGAACCTTAAAAGTACAGTAAAGCGACACAATCACCTTTTAGGGACTATTTTTCTTTTTTTATGTATTTAATACAGGGTCTCACTACACAGCTCAGACTCAGTGATCCTCCAGATTTCAGGCTCCCAAGCGCTGAGATTATGGGCATGCACCACCACACCCAGTGTCAAACACCGACTCCACACCCCTTAGGGGGTAGGACTGGCACAGCATGCTGCGGATCGAACCTGGGCGTCTGCATCTGCCTAAGCAGGTGCTTTAGTGGGCTGGGCTATCTGGCCAGCCCTCTTGAGACTTTGAATGAACTTAAGTTTGCATTCAGATAATATCTATTGGCAGTATACTGTATGGAGTGTAACTCAGTTGGTCAAGCCAAAATCCTGGGAGGTGGCAGTATCATTCCTATTTTGCAGAGCAAATATGTGATATTCCTAGAATGAAGTATGGCTTAGCAGAGGTAATCCAGAGAGGAAGAGCCCCTGGGGTCTTCCAGCATGGATCTTCTGAACCAGAAGCTGGGCGTATTCTACTGTATTCTACATGTCCTTCTATAAATTCTGAATTCTGTAATGAGCAGAGAATCAAGAAATCATTAGTTATTATATGCTAACAATATCAGTTGTAGTGGCTGAACCTTTATATGTTAGATCTAATCGAGGGTTATGTAGAGTTATAAAAAATCTCATCTATTCATTTTGGAAGACAAACCATCAATTAATGTCATAATTGTTAGCTCAGTGGCAAAACAAATCCATTCCCTTGTATGTTCCTTGTATGTTCTCCAGCTCTTAATTACTGCATTATAAATTAGTAACAATCTGAAACAATCTCCTCTCTTCTGTTAAAGACTATTTAATATAATAAATTAAACTTTTCCAGAACTTAAGATTATCGATTCAAAAATTGTTCCATGCAAAGCTCGTACACTTTCATTATTCTTTAAGTATGTTTGGGGGCTGGGGAGATGGCTCATTTGAATAAGCACTTGCCTGGCAAGCTCAAGGGCCTGAGTTCAGTCCCCAGCTCTGCCAAAAAAAAAAAAAAAAAAAAAAGTACGTTTGTATTTAGTTATGTATTTATTTGGTGCAGGGCCCTCCTCCACAGCTCCACCTCATAGTGATCCGCCTGTGTCGGCCTCCCCAGCACTGGGATTACAGGGGTGTACCACCACACCCAGTTTCAGGGCCAGCACGCCTCTCCTGGGCTGGCCAGCCCGGCATGCAGTACCGGGGATCAGTCTCAGGTTCTTGAGCCTGCCAGGCAGGCACTTAGACAGCCAAGCTGTCTCCCTGTACCTTTAAGTAATTTAATCATGCAATGCATGTGATGATCAGAACCATAGCAGTGTACCCTGCGATGAGGAAAATTTGGCCTGTCCCATTTTTATAGGGTACTAAAGCATCATTACTCTATTTTAAATATACCAGCCTTATCTCTTCAGTGTTACAGGCTTGGGCTCTTATGCACCTTTTCTTACTACACACTTCTCATGAGTAAAGTCAGCATTGATGAGCATTTACCATTTACCATTTCCTACCTTACCTGTATCAACACTGTGCTACAGCCAATGTAAGGTGAAGCGTAATAAATAAAAGAAAGAAAGAGACAAGAACAAAAATTTAAGATTTCTTGAAAGCAAGCAGTAACATTCACCCATATGTCCAATCTTTCATAACTATATCTGTTAATCTGAGCAACAGATTTGATGATAAAAATAGATGATATATCAACTATTGTTAATCAGCTATTCTTGTTTTGAAAATCTGTAACATATGTATTGTTGTACAGTACCCTGTTTCTGTCCTTGTTTCTATCTTTGTTTTTAATTTTGTTTTTACTCTTCAAAATAAAATGAAATTATAAAAAACATATCTAATTCATCCACATAATGAAATGTATTGGTATAAAGTTAAAAAGTTAAACTTAATAGTACAGAAGTAGAATTATATAAATTTCAGCCCTAATTCTCACCGCAAACCTCTGCCTGCTGTTCAGAATAGACGCCTCACAATGTAAAGTTAATGTCTCGTCATGAAAAGACAACTATGCCAGAGAATACTATCTGTAATGTGTCGCACGGCTTTGTTCCAGGTTGAAATGCACAGTTGGCCCCGCGAGGAGTGAGCATTTCAACATGACCATACGTATTTCAAGCAGTCGGGGAGCGGCGCAGTACAGTTCGTTCTCCTACGTAGTAAGTCTCAGTATCACTTTTCTCAGAAGATGTCTAGTTTCCCCTGAACTGCCTTAGAGTCGTACAGTTCACGACGTTGCGCTATTTTTATCTCCCATTCAGGATCCTGTAATAAGGAGTGTCTCTCCGCGCTGTGGTCCCAAGGCTGGTGGCACTTTACTTACTTTAACTGGAAAGTACCTGGACAGTGGAAATTCTAGACACATTTCAATTGGTGGAAAAACATGCACTTTGAAAAGGTGTTGTACATTTATTTTTTGTTGTGTCTGCCACGTTGATTCATACTTACACATAAAAAATCAAGCCGAGTTTGTTCTTTTGAAAGTGGAAAAAAATCAAGATGTTTAACTGTTGTTTACCTGCCTGCTGGCAAGACACGATCCTGACCTCTTACGGCGATTGTCTACCCTTCCTTATTTATTGCTCCCACTTTTGAGTTGTGCGTTTCCATCCTGGCCTGGCACTGCCATTTCTCAATATCCTAGAGACATAATGAATGAATTTGAGGTTCTGGTAATTGACAATAAGTTAAAATGAACATTTCCATGAAGGTTTAAAAGTAGAAGTCACGTTGGGAAGGGCAGAGATGAGAGCGATTAGGCCGGAAAGGAGGTGACGTTTCTGCTTCTGAGAGTTGGAAACAGACCATCTTAACTCAGGGACCAACAGTACTTCAAAGGTAGCTTAGCGGGCCAGATGTTTGGGGGCTAAGGGTGGCCTTCAACAGCACAGCTCAGGATCCAGCCAAATGTGAACGGCCTGCTCTAAACAGGGATTTTTTCTGGACCAGCTCAGGAAACCCTCGTGTAGCTCTGTCCTTTGCTTTGTGATACAATTCTGAGTGATGTGTACCTTGGCAGCTAAGGTGCATTTTCTTGTTTTATCTGTCATTCAGTGTATCAAGTAATAGTCTCGAATGTTACACACCAGCCCAAACCATCCCAGCTGAGTTTCCTATTAAGTTGAAAATTGACTTAGCCAACCGAGAGACTGGCAGCTTCAGTTACCAGGATGACCCCATCGTCTATGAAATTCACCCGACCAAATCTTTCATCAGGTGAGTAGGAGCGACTGGTAGGTGTACAAACAGTGGACATAAGGATGATTTGAAAGAAATATTTCTTTGGTATATTTGGTGAATAAAAATCCAGAAGCCTGGGCTGGCCAGATAGCTCAGCAGACTAAAATGCCTGCTTAGGCAGGCTCGGGGACCCGGGTTCTATCCCTGGTGTGCTTTGCTGGCTCTGTCCCCAGGACACAGAAAGATGGTGACTGAGACTGGGCGTGGTGGTGTGCGCCTGTAATCCCAGCGCTTGGGAGTCTGAAAACAAGAGGATCACTATGAGTCTGATCTGTGTACTGTGAGACCCTGTAGACCCTGGACTAAATACATTAAAAAACAGATCCAGAGGCCTTTTTTTAGCTTATGAAATACAAATGTTTAAAAATATTTTCAAGTTAGGTGAGTTGTTTCCAGTGAAGAATTACCCCTCAACTTCCATCTGACTTTGGCTGTTCCTCATGTAATTCTTGCATGCGAGATAAAATTGAGCCTCTCTCAGAGTGCGCGGTGGAAAGAGCCTCTTACGAGTACCATTTCTCTGTTTTATTTTGCCAGTGGTGGGAGCACAATAACAGGTGTTGGAAACAACCTGAATTCCGTCAGCATCCCAAGGCTGGTAATAAACGTGCCCGAGGCAGGAAAGAACTACACGGTGGTGAGTGCGTGGGGAGACAGTCACACTCGGGGCGCTGCGTCTCTGCCCCTGCCGCCGCACCCGCGCTCACGGCACACGGGACATGGCGATCTGCCGTCCGTGTTCACCACTTACCTTCTTTGCTGCGTATTTTTTATTCAGCAGCTAAGGCTGTCTAGCATCTTGGGATGGCGTACGTACAATGTGTAGACACCAGTGAAGATTACCCATTTGAGGCACTTTTGAAAAGACAATCTGTGTAAATAGAAATCACGGCATTCTTCTGTGGGACCTTTGTAATTCCACATAGAATAAGGACCGTGTACTTCTAGGAAAGCTCTTCGGTGGGGCCTGTGGTCTCACAGCAGCACCCTGGTCTTTTAACCAGCCAAACAGCTGGGTTTCCTTACCTCTGCCATTCTTTAACCAGGCTTGTGCCTTTGTTGGCACATCACCAGGCACTAAGAAACACTACTTACAAGGAAACGGTGACACGTCCTCGGGTGTGGATGTTGCGTGTCATTTCTCGGCCTTTCCTTATTTTTTTGGAAGGCCATTTTGACTTTGACAGAATACCTCCTTAAAAATGATTAATCTGTTTTATGTTCTAACAATTTCAGCAGGTCATATTAAAATACCAGTTTTAGACTAAAACTTGAGAAGGGAGGAGCTGTTTCCAGGTAGTGTACCTCTTCCTGAGGTTCATTCTAAAATGCTAGGATCTGCTTGGACTTGTTCGCGCGACTTAGAATGAAAGTCCTGAGTGCGTCAGCTCAAGCAAGGTCTTGATTGTGTAGGTGACTGATTGAATTACAGCACTTTGAGATTCCCCATCCAGCATTTCTTGAAGACCAAAGCCGCTGTGTTCTTTAATTACAAAAACCAATCTGAGGCTAAAAATGTCAAACTAAATCACCAAACAATAAGGTCATCTCAAATGAGATTTTTCTTGACCTTCTCAGTCAGCCACATTGCATCACCTCTAAGGGGTCTTATTAGATTTTTATCATATTCCTAAGAGATTGTGCTCTAGGGAATCACAGCAGAGTAAAGGGCTTTGAAGCTGGTCCCCACACATGGCCACAAAGAAAGTGGAAATACCACAGCTATGAATTTAGAGGATGTCAGTTCCCCACAAGCAAGCAGAGCACTTTTTCATTAACCAAAGCAGAATAACAGTAACCCCCTTTGGTGTGGGCACGCGCCTTTCTAAAGTGGAAATCTGTGGAATTGTTAGATTATCTAATTAATATCAAGTCTCTTATTAAAATGGTGGCTAAATTTACTTTCTCCTCCCTTACCAGCACTGAGGTGATTCAAAGATCAACTCAGCTTCATTCGTTTATTTATAATCAATTTTTTTTTAAAACCTTTTAGATGTTAGGCATAAGAGATGCATGTTTCCAAAGAGTCAACCCATAGCCCCATAGCCCAAGATAAAAATCTTAATCTGTTTACACAGTTGGAAATGTAAACTTCTATTGTGTTCAGCCACAAACCAACATGTTGGTACAATAAAACTATGCATGAGATTTGTATAAGAATGAAAATTCACTGGCTGCATTTACTGTTAACTACTTTATTGTTGTTTTGGGGAAACTCATAAAAAAAAGAATTCCTTTTTTTTTTCCTTCCTTGTGCCCTGACACAAAATTTGAAGATGACCATGAAGAACTGAACCTATTTATTACTTAGCAAATAAAAACTAATGATCAGGTCTGATTTAGATATATATATATATCCAGCCTCAATAACTTTCATTCCAATAAATTTAAATGTTTTTAAAGAAAAATAATGAACTTACTTTATTTTAAAAGACAGTAAAAAACTTAACAAAATGTATATTAATTTGTTAATGTGCATTGTAACCAAGATACCCACAGTCTATTGTGTGGTTTCAAAGCTGATGTTAGTAAAGAAATACTGTGGTAACAGGCAGAAAGATCATTCATTTCCAAGATGCCTGGAACAGCGTGGAGGATGTAGCTCAGGGCGGCTCTTGTCCAACAAGCACAAGACTTGGAGTCGATCCCAAGCACTGGGAAAAAAAAAGAAAAGCTTTTAGCAGTATAATATTAATTTGATATAAAACAATATATTTTATTTACATTGTATCTGTCAGCTTACCGCGTACATTCTTTGGTGTAGAATAATTTTTAAATTACTTTTAAAAGAAAATAATGAACACCCAAATTGTTTGTGCTTTTTATGTATATCCTGAGGCTTTTTCTATTGTGAGCGTAAGTAATTGTTTTATCTCCAACTAAACTTGTTAAAGCAAAGGAAGTCTAAGGGATGTTGTTGCTTGTTTGTCTTTTCCTTGGGGGAAAGCAACCATTTAACCTTAAATTCATCGCTTTGTGTTGCTAGTTTTAGCCTAAAGGATAATCAAGAGCAAACCACATTTTCCAGAATTCCATAAATCATACTTTCAAAGGGGAAGATTTGAAATGAAAGATGAAAGGGCATGAAATAACAATAGCAGAGCCTTTGTAGAATAGAGAGTACAGGAAAAAACTTACCCATATAGATGATAGAATGAGCACAAGGTAGATGGCTGGGGGAGGGTACTGCGAGCGCTGGTGCTGGTGGCCTAGGATGCATGGACCCTGTCTGCTCGGAGGCCGGTGGCCTGGGTCTCAGGAAATGCTTCTGAGGAGCTCCAGCTTCTTCATCCCTAAACAAGATGTGCAGAGCATTTACCTGTGGGATTAGCAGAAGACCAACTTGGCTGGGTGTGGTGGCACATGTCTGTAATCCCAGCACCGAAGAGGCAGAGGCAGGAGGATCTTTGCCAGTTTGAGACCAGCTTGGGCTACAAAATGAGCTTAAGGCCAGTGTGAACTGCATAGCAAGACCCTGTGTCAAAAAGATAAAATGAAATAAAATGAACAGAAGAACAAGTTTGTGAAGCATTTTGCACAGAACCTGACAGTACTAAAATGCTTAACACACAGTAGTAAGACGTGCTGACTATATAGTCACGGTGGTAAACGTATGGAGCTCAATAAGGCCCAAAGCACTTTACCAGGTAGTGTTTTGCGTTATAAATAAAATTTTACTCTTAATTTCCAAATGAGGAAACAGAGTATGATCTTTGCGCCAGTTGTCACAGCTCGAGTGGAAGCTAGGATCTGAGCCAAAGACCGCCAACCCCGGAGTGCAGCTCCAGCTCAGCCCTAGCGGCTCCAGAGGCCCGAGAGGCCTTCCCTCCAGGCGATGCTCTGTCTCAGGGGAGATAAAATGAACTTGCAGCCCGGTGAGCAGAGCATCCTCTAAGTGCGGGAAGCCCTGTGGTGCTTCGAAGAATGGCTTGTTGGGAAAATGTGTCTTTCCTGTTTCCAGAGATGTTTTCTTCAACATTAGGACAGTAAATGCAAGTTCTTTTGACAATTCTGTGGTTTCAGTTGACTGAAGTGAAGTAGGAAAGTTGCTGGTCGGGAGGGCTACAGCTGTTGATGCGGATGATTGTCTTCCTGCAGGCCTGCCAGCATCGCTCCGGGGCAGAAATCCTCTGCTGCACCACGCCCTCCCTGCAGCAGCTGGACCTGCGGCTCCCCCTGAAGACCAAAGCTTTTTTCATGTTGGACGGGGTCCTTTCCAAATACTTTGATCTCATTTACGTACATAATCCCGTCTTTAAGCATTTTGAAAAGCCAGTGGTGATTTCAGTGGGCAACGGGAATGTACTGGAAATTAAGGTAAGCACTGTTTAAAATGGTCCCTTAGCGAATGCCCGTGACCTTGACTGACTGCATAGCCCTGTGAATAGAACCACGGTTCTTGCCCTTGTATCTTTTTTTTTTTTTTTTTTTTTTTTTTTCCGGAACTGGGGGTTGAACTCAGACCCTTGCGCTTCCCAGGGAAGCACTTATTCTACTGAGCCATCTCGCCGGCCCATGGCCCTTGTATCTTATGCCACATCTGCAGATACCCTAAGGTCTGAAAAACAAATATTCTTTGCATAATACCAAAAGGTAAGTTTGACTGTGGATTGCTTTTTTTAAAAAATGTATTTAATGCACAGCCTACAGGGTCTCACCACATAGATTAGACTCACAGTGATTCCCGTTTTCAGTCTCCCAGGCGCTGGATTACAGGTACACACCCCATGCCCAGTCTCAGTCAGTCTGTCTCAGCACACCCTGGGGGCAGAGCCGGCACAGCATGTGGTGTGCGTTGCTTTTTAATGAAACATTTTAAAACATTTCCTGTGCATGTATTTAGAAGTACAAAGGCCGCACTCCAGCGCGCCAGTCCTGCAGGACCCGAGCCCGTTGGCTGTGCGAGCTGTGCTAAGCTGCACAGTGCTGGAAATGATGACGTCCGTGCCACTCAGTGGACAGGAGGAGGCGCGGAGGAGTTGCGTCTGAGCCCAGGCCCCGTCCTGTACCTGGCGCCATTGCAGGCTCATGGTGTGGCAGCAGAAAGTCATGCTAACCCGAGTTGTGGAGAAAGAATCGGTTAGATGTGCACAGTACCGGCCACCGGATGGCCAGGAGATGGTGTTCAAAGAAACGGGATTAAGCGTATAGCTCTCGTGAAAAGGTGAAGTCATATATGCTGCGTCTACTATGAATAGAAAATGCCGTAATGAGGAAACCAGAACAGGGTCTCCCTTTCATTATACTGCCTGGCCAGATTTTGGAGTCCCCGAATCACCAGCTTCATTTTTCAATTTCTTGTTTAAAGTGGGAGAATGTGGCTCCCTGGGCCCTGACCATGGGCCTGCAGTCGCCCACTGCAGCACAGGCATTGGGCGCTCTGGCCCCTTCGCTCTGGTGGACACTGCCTTGTTCTGATGGAGAAAGGAGAAGACACAAACATTAAACAGGTGTTACTGAATATGCAGAAATTCCGAGTGGGGCTCATTCAGACTCCGGATCAACTCCGATTCTTCACAGAGGCCATCATAGAAGGAGCAAAATGTGTAAAGGGAGAATCAAATACATAGAAGCTGTGGAGAGAGCTTTCTAAGGAAGACTATCTCCCGCTTTGGATCATTCACCAGGCATGACTGAGGCGTTCCGTGGGAGCAGAACAGGCCCTGAGGAGCAGCTGCCTGCGGACCAGTGCACGGGGCTGGCCTCCAAGACGCACGGGCCCTTGCAGGAGAGAAGCGAGCGTGTTCTGCGGAAAAGCATTCGAGAGGACAGAAAGGCAGCGACGGCTCGGAAGCGGCAGCAGATGAAGCAGAGGCTAAGTGAGGGTGAACCGAAAAGAAAAAGGCCGAGACTGACAGACACCTGCGTGTTCATGACTGACGAATGTTCTGCAGCTGTCAGTTTTGAACCATGGTGTGCAGATCAAGGCCGAAGCCCACTCCAGAGCTGCAGTGAGGCCTGCTGGCCCTCGCTTGCCTCGTGGTTGTCTTCAGCGTAGGCATCACATCAGGGACAAGGAGCTCGCCAGCCAGAGACTTGCAGAGCCTCAAGTTCGCTGAGGTGCTGCATGCTTTTTGATGCATGTGACATGTGGAAAGATGCCAAAGAAAGAAATGAGGACACTACTTTGTATTGTACTGCCATTTCTATTGTATTTTTATACTTTTTGGCATCATTAGATATTTTTATTAAACAGAAAAAAAGTAGTAAACACAAGACACAAATCTGTAACATTGTCCTGAGGTGCTACATGGGTCCTCTGATGACGTCACCTAAATGGTCTCATCACAAGGTAAAAGATAGTTCTTTACTTCTTCATGATATTTGGAGTTTCACATCTGTCTGTGGTCATTTCTAAACTGATTTATAAATGGAACTGGATTTCCACCACCATAGGAATGTATTAAGCTTGGACTAATATGCTTGCTTAGGAAGATGCAGGGACCAGGGTTCTATCCCCAGCGTGCCGTGCCGGCCCCGCCCCCAAGCCTGCAGTTGAGACTGGGCGTGGTGTTGCGCGCCTGTAATCCCAGCACTTGGGAAGCTGAAAATAGGAGGATCACTACGAGTATGATCTGTGTAGTGAGGCCCTGTAGACCCTGTACTAAATACATTTTTAAAAAGGAATATATTAGCCTCTAAATGTACTTTAATAGAAAAAAACTATCATGATTACTTTTCTGAAACAAAACACCTGATGCCCAAAGTGAAGGGAGGACAGATCTGCTTGGCTCCCAGTTTGCAGAGGTTTCAGGCCGTAGGCAGTAGGCTGTAGGGCAGAGTGGCTCGAGGCAGAGGGCCACGGGAGAAGGTCACGGTGGGCAGGAGGAGCATAGCAAGCAGGGCCTGAGCGCTTCCTGCTTCTCCTCTTCGACTCTGCCCAGGCTGTCGGGGTCAGGGCAGTGCCAAGCGGTCAGGGGGCTGATTGAGTGATCTCACACCCTTCGTCCCAGCGTCACACACTGTTGCCCCTGCCACCTGTGGAAAAGCCCCCCTAGGACCACGGGAGGCCACGGGGATACATCTGAACACAAGCCATAACAGTAACATCATCTTTTGTGAGCCGGCCTGTTGCAAATAAAGGGCCATAGAGCCAGAGAGGCTCAATGGTTTGACAAGTGATAACAGTGATGGAGCAGAGTGACGGCTCTTACGTAGCTTTCATCGTTTTTACTTCAAAAGACAAGAGAGGGGCTGCGGAGATGGCTCAGTAGAATAAGCGCTTGCCAGGGCCTGAGTTCAATCCCCAGTTCCAAAAAAAAAAAAAGACAATAGAATAACAACATCATTAAGATGTTAGTTATTCATAACCCAGCCACTGAAAAGAGCAAAATATTTATCCTTCAACATGTTCTTTTAGACACTGAGAATTTTTTTCCTGAAAGTTCATGTGAATGCAACTGCAAATACAGAGCGATAGGCGAGTCCTTATGGCGATGTAACACTGGTTCTCCTGGCTCGTTTCCACCGAGGTTTTGCTGCTTTGCCAATGCCGTGTCGTCCACATTCCACCCCAGCACGCGTTCACACTCGTACGAGTTCACTAACCTCACAGTTGTGTTTTGTGCAGTAACTAAGCAAACCCAGCATGAAGTGAAGCGGAAGCCTGCCTCGCCGAGCTGCGCGCCTACCCAGCGGAGCTCTTTCATCTGCTTCTTTAATTAGTTTTAGAAAAGCAGAAAGAGCTTTTACCACTTTTTTTCAATAAAATTAATCTAGTGTGACCTTTGCTTTCAACAATTACTGCGCTTGCCATTTGAAAGGCTCCATTTGGTTTTTCTTGTGGAAAACAAAAGGCTTATTTGCAAATAGTTTTTTGCCCAGAGAAATTCCATTTTGTATTCCTGTATCTATGATGGACATATTAGAGAGAAATGGTTCTTTATCTGCCCTTCTACACAGTGTTTTGTGCAGAAGCGAAAAGTTCTATTTTATAAATTAAATACTCATTATTCAACATCCTACAAAGTTGTTGAACCAAGAAAAATGTGATTTGACATCATCCATAGCCTATTAGCATTTTCCACCACGGTCCAGGGCGTCTCTGGAGACGGACACAGAAGCCCTCCTTTTTCACGATGCTACAGGAATTTGCTCTCACTTTCTAAGAAGTGTGTGACACAGCAGTAATTTCCTAAGGTAAGGGACAGTTTAGGATAGTTATTTTAGGACGATTCAATATATGCTTATGTTTCATTTTCCCTAAGTGTAAGAAGAAGTCTAAGATGTATGAGTATTTTTATGACAAAAACTTTTTTTATATAGAGATTAAACCCTGGCCCCACCGTGACCTACATTCACAGCCTTTTATGATAGGGTCTTGCTAAGTTGCCCAGTCTGGGCTCTTAAGTTGCAATCTTTCTGCCTCAGCCTCCCAGAGGAAGTCACCATACTTTGGCTGTTGTGATAGAAATTTAATTGTTTATTAATTTCTAAAGTTGATCACATTAAAGCCTCTGCCTCGCTTAGAGAAGATACAAAGGAAAACGAAATATGAAAAGAAAAGAACAAACTCTTCTGGATGAGCTGTAGTGTTTTCATCAAGTGTTCCTTCAGTCCCATTCATGGCATGAGGGGAAGTAGGTTCGCCTTTCATTGAGGAATGACTGTGAAGACACTGTATGTGGAGAGGGGGCTTACTCTTCACTCCCAGGAAAAGCTCATGCTTCACCAGCAGACACGTCTGAGAAGATTCCGTGGCCAAGAAGGGCTGGAAGTCATCTCCAGCCGCAGCTGTGAGCATCGGCCATGACCAGTTGGCCCAGTGACTGCACCACGGGCAGAAGAGGCAGCCAAGTTTAGGGCAAGAGGGCGCATCAGGCCCAGAGATGAGTCGCTCCTCAGCGCAAATCAAAAGCCTGATAGATGTAAGGGATGGTTGGGGTCAAGGCTACTGGCCCAGCTCTAGATGGTGGACATCAGATGTAGCTGTCTCTTTGGAAGCACGCAGGAGGACCTGAAGTCCTTACCAACAACTGCTGACAGCTATGAGGAATTTTACAGTTCGTGCAGTACTTTGACATAGGCTGTTTCACTTGACTCATACATGTGCGGTCGGTAAAGATTATCTGCAAATTGACACAAAGATTCTTTATTTGTCTTGGGTCACCTAGGGAGCAAACAAGTAGGACTCCCTTTATGCCCTTTAGTGGAGTCGAAATTCCACTAAAATTCCAGTGCATCTCCTGCTAACTGTCATTGACTATGTACTGAAACACCTTCCATACTAGAAAAGCTTTTCATAATAGAAAAGCTATGGTCTCTGTACATATTAATATGGTTCTTTAAGTGAAGTAACACTAAGCTTTCTAAAAATCTCTAAAATTTTACTTTATTTAAAGAAAGCTGCTATGTTCTGTAATTACCTCATTCTCTGACATTTTGTGCATGAGTATGTTGTGTAGACAGCACACAGGCAGAGTGCTCGGTGCTGGCTGTCACCTCCCTGACTAGGTTCATCCTATGATAGTAAGAGTTCATCTTATTCCGGAGCATATAGGGATATTTGAAACAGACATGCTTCAAAATTTCTGTCTGGAAAACTCAGTTCAACAGGAAAAGGAGGCAGGAAGATGGATTAAAACAGAGATCAGGGATCGGGGTGTGCTGAATACCAGGGCAGATGTTGAAATCTCACGTGAAGGTCAGGCATCAGTGACCGGGCACCAAAGCGTTCTAGAAGGGCGCATTGTTCTAAGCCAGCCCAACCCACCTGCTGGCCAGAGGCAGCCAGAAGTTCTCTTCTCCCCTCCCGCCACCTCTGACCCCTATCTGGAACTATAGACCCAATCTGGGTCACGGCTGCCACACTGCCAGTTCTCACTCCAGACAAGACAAGGAAAGGACGTTCTCCCCCAGATCATCTGCCCAGCATCAAGAATGATTCTTGTGTGACAGCGTGTATACCTTACTGTCAAACAGTACTTCCGTGTGCTGCAAACATTAATAGGAATTCTGTGAAAAAATACACTCCAAGCACACTGGCAACAGCTGTGGCCCCCGAGTGCCCAGTGGGGGGTCTTCAGGTAAGTAAGTGGGGAAAGCCTGCCGAGCAGTCGGTGAAAACCCCGTGCAATTTTGGTTTGCCTTGCTTTTCTCAAACATCCAGGGAATCTGTTCCTCAGTTGCCTGTTGATATGTTGTGAAACTCAGTTTTGAAGCTTTCTGTGACAGTTGTTCGGCCTGGCTTCTAGCCTGAGGGACTCACACCCCCTAGGTGAAGTATCTGTCACCCCCAACAGCAGCAGCTTGCTGAGTTTCAGCGGTGCACCTCCCTGGTCTGAACCACTGCCTGACGGGCGCTGCTGCTAACCTGCGCCTACTGCTCTCAGCTGCTGTCTTCAGCCTGCCTCTTGGCTGCCTGCGTGTGGACACAGGCCGGATCCCTCCTCTTACAGTGCTGGTCTTCAAGCACTGCTACTACCGCCTGCACTCCCACTCTGTTCTGTCGCTTTCACACACTTGCAGCATTCCCAGGCCCGAATTCTGAGTAGAAACGTGATGTCCTGTCTGGCCAGAGTTCAAGAGGAAATGGACCAGGTACATCCTGATGTGACAGAGTCGAAGTCACTAGTGTTTATTTTAGAAATGTGTCCACTGTAACATTAGAGGAACAGACTCGGACTCATTCATCTGTGTATTCCTGGTGGCTACGCCTGTGTACAGCACATAGTAGGTGTTCAGGAATTCTGCATCAAACAGAACTGGATTTGTTTCGATTTCCTAGTCCTTTCCAGAACCTCAGCTCACCAGATAAATAGGAACAATAGCGGTACCTGCCTGGGGAGGAGATTGATGTCTCTGCAGGATAAAATGTGATCATTACAACTCTTAACTTCTTCTACATGTGTAAGGGATTAAATATCAGACAGCTTCTTAGGTTGCTTTGCTTAAAAGCCCATAGAATTAAACTGATTTCACAAATACGTTCTATTCAATAATAGTGAATAATAATAATAAAAGTAAGTAATGGAAGTTCTAAGCATATACACTTTGCATAGCTCAATGTGGCTGCATGCTTTGAGTGAGTGTTGTAGCCTGCAGCAGGGGGGGCTTTCCTCCATGGGCCACAGATCACTTCTGTGGCACCCGGGCTTTTCAGCTTTTGAAACCATCACGCGCACGAAGCTGAGAGTAATTTCTTGTATGCAGGTTGCTCATTTTGTGTCCCCTGGTAGGAGTGTGTGAACAGGCTGCAGTTGTTCAGCCGTGTGACCTGCTTTTGTGTGTAACACCCTGCAGACCCAAACCTAAAGGGGGTTGGAAATGTGAATGGAGGGTGCGTGTCCCGTCCCCCACGGGTGGGCGCTATCCCAGCAAGCGAGGCGCACTCGAGTCCTGCCGTCGTAAGTCACTCCTCCTGCTCTTTAATCTTTTGTCTCTGTCATTCTCTGAATTCCCTCCAGTACGTTAGTACGGTCCCTCGCCCTCCTCAGACCTCCCCAACAAGTTGTCACTTGAAGCCCCAAGGTGACCTGTTAGATTTATGTGCATTTCTGCTGGATTGCCCTGCGTGGCTGGCCTGGATGAGTGGACTGCTCAGGCTGCCTCAGACTTCGCATCAGGATACTGTCTGTCTGGGCTCTTCGGATCTCAGCGTCCAGCTTCATGCTGTGAGAACCATCTTCTTTTGGGTCCTTTTCCTAGAATAGTATCTGACCTACCTACAAATCTTTGGTGATTCATTTGATATTCTATATGCAAAAGCAGTTTGCTAAATATTAACGATTATACAAAATAAAATAGCAAGCCTGTCATTATTGCCAACTGCTCTTTGTTCATAAGGAATAGAGTTAAAGTTTTTGATAGCTCTCTTCTGAAAGTAATGGCTTATTAGATAACTGTACCTGGAAAGAGTAGATGCGGGAAATTATACTCAGGCTTGTACTTCTTCCTCAAGGCTCAAGATTGGTTTCTTCAACAAAAGCCCAATATTTTTAAATTCCTGATAACTTCAGTTAACTAAATATGTCAGGTTGAGTAAATTTTTAAAAATCTTCCTGTAACTATATACTTACTTGAATTTTGGTCTTTTTTTTTTTTTTAATGTATTTGGTATAGGCTCTCACTATGTAGCTCCGACTCATAGTGATCCTCCTGTTTTCAGCCTTCCCAGCACTGGGATTACAGGCATGTACCACCACAGCCCATCTCGGCAGCTGGTTCAGCATGCCTGGCACGGGGCTGGCGCAGCATGTGGTGCCAGGGATCAAACCCTGGGCCTTGTGTGATTGAACTCAAGCCCTTGTGCTTTCCAGGGAAGCGCTTATTCTACTGAGCCATCTCCCCAGCCCCTTAATTGTACTCTTACATTGCAATGAAGAACATGGGTTATCTTAAGGGAATTTCTTTGAAAAAGGGTTCTTTTAGGTACAGGACTTAGACGTACAAGTGCAAAACACTGCCCGACTCCAGCAGAAGAGGAATGCCCTGGCACAGGGAAAGTGCACCAGCCCCTGGAGCGTGGGACCCGAGCATGAGGGTTTTGCTGCTCTCAGTCGGATGCTAGAAGGGGCCAAGGCCGTTGGGCAGTGTTAGGCGGTGCGACGACGGAATCTCTAGCCTGCGTCCCTTTTGCCTCTGAAGACAGTAACAAGCTGATTATGGCTAAGACATCATTCAGTGTAAGATACAACTAATATTTTTTTTCTCTAAAATTCAATTTGATGCAAAAGCTCTGTTCTGACATTCCCAGTCAGTGCCCCGAAATGCTCACGCTTCCCTCCAGCCATCCCAGCTCCCAGGAAAACAAGCACCGTGAACCTCGTGCCTTGGCAGACAACCACAGCCTGCTTGCAGCAGGTTTGTGCTCCTTCGGGTTGTGAGCATTCTTGAAAATCTGTGAAGTGTTAACGGCCTCTCTTTTTTCCTTCCAGGGAGATGACATTGACCCTGAAGCAGTCAAAGGTGATGTGTTGAAAGTTGGAAATAAGAGCTGTGAGAACGTAGAGTCTCATGCCGAAGCTGTTTTCTGTACGGTCCCCAGTGACCTGCTGAAATTGAACAGCGAGCTAAATATAGAGGTGGGGTTCCTGCATTCCTCTCCTGATGTAAATAAGGATGCCGGTGTAATTATGTCACTCGCAGGCTTAAAATAAATCATTAAAGCTCATTTGTGCCTTGGCTGTGGCTCATCAGCCAGCCTCAACTCTTAGTTGCTATGCAAGGTTTTTGTCACACTGGCTCCTTCCCCAGCCTGCGGAGGGAGGGCAGGTCTCAGAAGCTCTTTCTACCATGCTGGCTCTCAGCCCTGTCGCTCTCCTGCCCAACTTTACTGTAATGCTCAGAAAAAAGAAGGACAGATCTAAGGGTGTCCCCTGCACCTGTCACACCCCAGGAGGCCAGAGCCAGCGCACTTCTGCCCACTGCAGGGGCCACACACTTGGGGCCCTATAAATGAAAGGCCTGTGCACTGCGCAGAGTGAAGTAAGGTTGCACTGCTGACTGCAGCTTCTTCCATGTAGACAGCTCAGTCAGGTAACCTAAAACCAGGATAATTTTTTTCTTTCTTTTTTTGTTTTGAATGTATTTGGTACAGAGTCTCACCACCCAGCTCAACTTGCAAGGATCCTCCTGTTTTCAGCCTCCCAGCACTGGGATTACAAGTATGGGCCACCATGCCCAGTCTCTGTAGCTCAGTGTGCCTGGGAGCGGGGCCGATGCAGCAGGTGATGCCAGGGATCGAACCCTGGTCTCTGCACTTGTCTAAGCAGGCGCTTAGTCCACTGAGCTATCTGGCCAGACCTTTTTCATTGTTTTTAACAGCTTCATAGTGATGTGACTCACCTGTCATACAATTTATCCATTTAGAGTAAACAGTTAAGTGGTTTGGTGTATTACATCATTAACTTTAAATTGTGGTAAAATATGTGTAACGTAAAATCTGTTATTTTAGCCATTTTGAATGTACAGTGCAATGGCATGTACTGTCTTCAGGGTAATCATCCACTGTCTGATTCCAAAAACAGAAGCTCTGGACCCACTGAGCACACCTTCAGCACTGCCCGCTCTCCATCAGCCCCTAGTAACCTCCGAGCTACTTTCTGTCTCTGGATTTGCCTGTTCTAGAAACTTCACCTAAGTGGAGTCTGACAGTATTTGTCCCGTCATGTCTGACTCACCGAGCCCGAGGTTTCAAGGCCCTCCATGTATGGCCATGTGTTACTCCTTTGTTCCTTTTTGTGGTTAAATAATATTTCGTTGTGTATATTCCATGATTTGTTTATCCAAGGATAAGTGGTATTCAAAGGGTTCCTGAAGTCTTTGAGAATAATTTATGAAATGAACACACGCAAAGAGATTAGAAAATGTGAGACTAAATCATGAAGTCAGAGTTGGAATTTCAGAGTGACTGTAAAGCTGTTATGAAATGCTGAAGTAGACCTAGAAGGGGCCTCAGAGACTTCTTCTGCATATCAGAAGAGAAGTAAAAATATTCTGAGACTTTATCGTCCCATTATGATATGATAATTTGCTTCTGCCACCCACTCCATTCTAATGGGACAGAGCTAATTTCTTGCTGTTTACTCATATTGATATGGTACTTTTCATATTATACTATAATTATTTGTGTACACCTCCCTTAATATACATCAGTTCCTCAAGATCAGAGACTTTTTCTTAGCTTTTTGTCCCCAGTACCTAGTTACAAATATAAACTAATCCATGCTGTAGAAGTACTTTGGGACTCAGCATTCCCTAGGTATCTGAGCATGGAAGCAGGATTGAAGAATCCTTATTCCACTTCCATGAGGGTAACAACCAGGTGGGATTTGACAGCCAGAGAAATTGGGATTCCACCTGGACAGAATATTTTATATTGATCATGGCCAAACCCTAACTCTTCTTGTCCTTTTTACAGTGGAAGCAAGCAGTCTCTTCAACGGTCCTTGGAAAAGTAATAGTCCAACCAGATCAGAATTTCACAGGATTGATTATTAGCGTTGTCTCAATATCTGTAATACTTTTAGTATTACTTGGGCTTTTCCTGTGGCTGAAAAAGAGAAAGCAAATTAAAGGTACATTTATTACATTATTTGTTTTAAGAATTATCCTAAGACTGCAGTCATTACAGTTCAGCCTTGTCATAGATCTTGTGTGCTGTCTTGTAGGTAAGTCATAAACCCCGTGAGTTACCATTAGGCCGCGCTCGGACTGGCAGCCAAGTCTTAACAAGCTCTTCCTCTTTTTTAAGATCTGGGCAGTGACTTAGTTCGCTACGATGCGAGAGTGCACACTCCTCATTTGGACAGGCTTGTAAGTGCCCGAAGTGTAAGTCCAACTACAGAAATGGTTTCGAACGAATCTGTAGACTACCGAGCTACTTTTCCAGAAGGTATGCTTTGGTTTATTGTTGTAGAAGTCACTATACATATACTTCTATGGCTTGTGATGTTGTTGTTTTGCTTTTGCCTATATATATATATTTTATTTATTTATTTATTTTTGGCAGAACTGGGGATTGAGCTCAGGCCCTTGTACTTGCCAGGGAAGCGCTTATTCCACCGAGCCATCTCCCCGGCCCCTGCCTTTATATTTTTATAAAAGTAAAAAAGCACTTCTGTCAAAGGAGTATTTAACCTGACACAGAATTACATGACTTTTATTTTTATTTTTCATTTTTTGGCTTTAAAGAGCAAAAAGATAATAAAACAGGTTAGTAGGAAGGTCAGAGTAGTTGATACATTAGTTGTTACAATAGTTGATCCATTTGGAGATTTTGAAACAGGTTAGTAGGACAGTTGCAATGTATCAACTATGGCTCTTATTTTTAAATGAACCCATATATATTTTCTAATTTTAGAATCTGTGAACTCTCATTTCACAAAAAAGCTAATTTTAAAATAACTTAAGCAGTGGTAACCAGAACATGATGCTAAGAAATTACAAACTCTTGGGCTGGTGGAATAGCTCAGCAGATTAAGCGCCTACTTAGGCAAGTGCAAGGACCGGGGTTCAATCCCCAGCACTGCATGCTGCGCTGGCCCCACCCCCATGCACGCTGAGCTGGCCACCAAGACCGGGCGTGGTAGTGCATACCTGTAATCCCAGCACTGCGGAGGCTGAAAACAGGGAGATCACTACAAGTCCGAGCTGCATAGTGAGACCCTGTACCAAATAACATAAAAAAATGTTTAAAAAAAAATTATGAACTCTTTAACAGCTCCAAGAGTTAAGTTACAAAACAAATTTTGTTTGAATATCAGTTGAAACTGCTGCAGTCCCTGAATCCCAGACATTTGAATTGTACCATTAGTAATGTTTTCATGCATTCCCAGGAAGTGTGGCTTTTTACCTGCCACATTTTAGGAACTGAATACATTTTGAGTCGTGTCCAAGAATAACGTTCAATCACGCTGTCCAACAAGGAGAGGCCCACACCATCTGCCTTGCAAAACATGAGGCCTCTAAGAATGGCCAGGGTAGCCAGAACAGTTCGCATTGTTTTATTTTAAAATTTCCTGGTCAAAGCAAAGTGTCTGTCTTGTACCAACACCGTTATCTTTAGAAGTTCCAGGACATGAGTCAAGCGCCTGGAGTTCCCTGGGTTCATATTCACCAGGAGACAAATAACGTGAGTCACAGACTGTTGCAGGCCCTGGGAAGTTAAAGCGTACTCATGTGCACAAGGCTGAGCGTGGTGGAGTTTCACATGGTAACTTTTTTGCAAAAACACTTTTTTTAAAAGAGCATAAAAACTTAAGAGAATTTTAAAAAGCAGTAAAAAGATACAGAACTCCAAAACAAGATGATAGGAAATTAACAGTGGTTGTGATATTGCGTAGTGTTGTCTTCAAAGTACTTGTTCAGATTACTGGATGCAGGCATGCAAAATTGATCAAACAAGAGCTGACTGTTCCTTTCAATAAACCGATAGACATTAGTAATACAATTATCTTGGCTATCATATATATATATATATATATATTTTTTTTTTTCCATTCCTTCTTTCTTTTCTCCTGTCCCGCAATCCCAGTTTTTCTTTCCATTTGAGATGTGATATTTTTATACAATGGCATGTTATTCAGCTATAAAGAAAGATAAACTTGAGGCTTTTATAGGTAAATGGATACAACTAGAGACCACACTCATAAGTGAAATAAATCAGAACCACCTGTGCAAACATCTTATTCTCTCCCTAGTGTAAGAAACTGAAAGAGTAAATAAAATCTGAAAGGTACAATAGATATTGTAAAAGGGAAAAGAAATTGCTCAAATACGTATTACTTTTTTTTTGCCACTTGATGACACTTACTTTTTTGAAATTACATAATCTCTGTAGAGATATGCATGGTAAACACTTTTTTCTCACCTGACTGACTGCTCACCTTTAGAAATCCAGTCTTTAACAATAGGACAAACCCTAGTTTATAGATTTTAAATTTATCTAGTTAGTATGAAATAATTAGAATTCACAGAACTTTAAAAAAAGTGGGCTGGGGAGATAGTTCAGCGGCATAAGCGCCTGCCTCACAAGCACAGGGTCCTGAGTTTGATCCCTGGTACCACATTCTGTGCCAGCTCCAGCACCCTGGGCACCCAGTGCCAGCCCCTGAAACCAGGAGTGGTGGTGCATGCCTATAATCCCAGTGCTGGGGAGGCTGAGACAGGAGGATCACTGCAAATCCGAGCTGCGTAGTGAGGCCCTGTATCAAAAAAATGAATAAATCTTTTGTAACCTTCCGAACTTCCTGCTCAGCAAAATTCTGTCATCATTGCTAAGAACACGGAGCTCCTTCCCCTGTGCACTGTGAACCTTTCTTGGAAACATGAAAAAGTAAATACTGGCAAAAGAGGACCATTTATAGAGAAGATGGAAGAGAGTGCACAGCTCACAGCTGCAGAGCTTTTCTTTGCCGTTAGTGGGCTAGCCTGAGAGTCTTGTTTGTTTGTTTGTTTTTTAATGTATTTTAGTACAAGGTCTACAGGGTTTCACTCCACAGATCGGACTCGTAGTGATCCTCCTATTTTCAGCCTCCGAAGAGCGGGGATTACAGGTGCGCACCACCACACCCAGTCTTGATCTCTGTCTCAGTGTGCCCTGGAGGCAGGGCTGGCACAGCATGCCGGGGATGGAATCCTGGTCCCTGTGTCTGCCTAAGCAGGTGCTTTAGTCCACTGAGCTATCTGGCTGGCCCCTAGCCTTGAGAGTCTTTAGAAGACCCAGAATTCTCTGTGGTGCTCCACAGGGTTACACAGTGCTGGTCTAGATTGGTGTCTGCACATCTGCTCTTAGCTAAAGGGTCACTGGAAGTTCCCTGCCAGAGGACTTTTGTCCAGGATCTCACTGCAGATTTCCCGTGGTCCCCACAGCCCTAAGGATTTACAACCCTGATCCCTCAGAGCGAAGGGTTAGAAAACGAAGGTGGAGGCAGGGGTTTAGAGAGCCTTACTGGCCTTTCCAGCTCCCCAAGAAAGGCTCAGAGAACCGCCCTCCTTGGGGCCTAAGGAGCAGGCCCCTGAGTGGACCTCCCCTTTCCCCTGCCCACCCAGCGTTTCAGATGCTCCCTAGCATTCTCCAGCCTCCCTTGGACGTTGTGTCTGGCTTATTTCCAGCTAGTGATGCCTGTGCCCATAGGTGCCCCACAGACTTTTCTGGAACCACTGTTGAGCTTCCCTGGCCGAGTATTTATTATTAACCAACTTCCACCACAGAAAATTCCACATGTGCTTAAATGGGATTAGAAAATAGCATCAGCTTTTGCCTCCCAAGTTCGGATTCTCTTGTTTATTTACATACAGAGAACATCACCTGTTGGTGCCCATAGGCATCTGCACAGCCACTGCATGTGACATGAAGGGTGTGCACCTCCACCTCCTAGTCCCCTAGCTGGGAAACGGCGACTCGCTTCTTCTCCCAAGAACGCCTTGCCTGAAGCTCTCCCAAAGCCTTCACTGTAAAGATCAGCTTGCTAGCAGCTCCTGTCCAATTGCAGTAATAAATTCTTGGCCTCAGCTAGGTAGTGGGGTGGTGCACAAGCCCAGGGCCAGGCTGCCTCTCTGAAAGACCGTAACACTAAATCGACAGCAGGACCAGAAGGTGGAGGATTATCACTAACATGGGAAGCTTTTAAGTTTATGAAAATGTCACCACCATGCATTTCTAGTTATATATAATTATATGTCTGGACTGAGCATCTCTGACCTGAAAACCTAAAATCTCAAATGCTCCAAGATCAAAATTTTATGATCGCTGGTATGATGCTCAAAAGTTTTGGCTTTTGGGAACATTTCAGACCACAGGTACTCGACCAGTGAATTCCCCACAGCTGTCCCCAAATCTAAGGAAACCGGAAATAGAGCGCTTCTGATTCCAGGCACTTTACAGAAGGGTAGTCAGTCTGTATATAATAATATATAATTTAATATTTATTTTGCCTTGGTTGGGATTTCTTACAGATTTCCACACAACTACTCATTTGTTAATAAACATGTCTCTCAAAAGGGATCTTTTTCATTTTCTTACCTTTAAGCTGAATTTTTGGAGACCAACTTGCTGCTTCTCATTCTTAAAGATATAACATATTCAAAAATAAACTTCAACATGATTTTTTGCTGTTAATGAAAAGAAAAATGTCCTTGGGAATGAAAGCAAATAGCTTTCAAAGTCAACACTTAGTCTACATAAAAGAAAATCATAGGGGGCCGGGGAGATGACTTCAATCCCTGGTTCTGCCAAAAGTAGGGGAAAAAAAAGAAAAAGAAAATCATAAACATTTGATAAAATAAGCCAGTATTGTTTCCCGACTTACTCCACCATTTTTATCAGAGGCGATTCTTAGCCTTATTCAATGTTATAACCACCATTTGTTTAATTTTAATTTTGTTCCTCACTGATGTGATAATTCAGCTTGCTGCCCTTTGGCTTCTCCATCAGGTGAGATTTCACTATTGTGTTCTTGTAACTCTGCTTTATGTTGCAGACCAGTTTCCTAACTCATCTCAGAACGGGTCGTGCAGACAAGCTCAGTATCCTCTGACGGACCTGTCCCCCATCCTAAATAGCGGAGACTCGGATATGTCCAGTCCACTGCTACAACATACAGTCCACATTGACCTCAGCGCTCTCAACCCAGAGCTGGTCCAAGCAGTGCAGCACGTAGTGATCGGGCCCAGCAGCCTGATTGTGCACTTCAATGAAGTCATAGGGCGAGGTAAGTGTTTCCACTCCGCTTTGTGTTAAACACGGTTTTCCAGTGCACATTTTATCTTCTGCCTTTGCAGATTAGGAACTGAGACAGTGGTGGGGCAGCTGATGAGTGCCCTTGTTTCTGGTCTGCAGAAACGCATCCCTGCAGGCCAGATCCCAGGGACTTGGCCTGTGCGGGGAGGCAGCTGGAGAACTTCCCAGATGTGTTAGGAATAAACAGTATGTCCTCTCCTTCTCTGTGTTTCTCATGCTAGCAACTGTAGCTCCTTGGACTGAGCCATTGACTTCCTCTTTAAAATCATTCCTTCCAGTTCCATGATTTCACGCCTGTCGCCCTCCAGCCGTTCTTTACCTTGAGAACAGTGACCAGCTCCATGAAGTCCTGGTTTATAGCAGCTTGTACACTGCTGGACAGCATCAGAAGACAGGGACTTTATAGCATTCCCCCAGCCTCGGGCAGCATACATCATCTGCACAGCGCACTCCAATTTCTCTGTACAAAGAGGAATGAGTATTTGTAACAAGCTCACCCGAGCAGCAGTAACAGCTAGTATGAACAGTATCCAGAGACGTCTTAGCAGGAAAAGAAAGCAACCGGAAGCCAGGAAGTGGACCTCGATCTCTTCTTTTTTCTTTTTCTGAAATGCTTTTGAACCTGATGCTGAATGGTCTATGATCTGTTTTACACTATATGTACTACAAGCATTTGTAGGGACATCTGCCACTGTCACATAAGAGAAACTGACAGGGCTGCCTGCCTTACGTGGACACGAGGCTTCTCCTTTTCCTGTAGTGGCTTCACACACACCGAGTTTAATCCTGAGTATGCTGCCCTGTCCCGAAGAGCTGGTCATTGTCCACAAACATGTTTCTGTGACTTATATCCCAGTAATAAATCGCTCTATTATCAGCCTGTAAATCCAAGTAATTGTGCTAATTTTAGAGCATGTAGCCTCATAATTGAGTTCTATTTCTACCCATTGTAAAATTAGAGGGACTTTTAATTATGAAAGGTGCTGAAATGGCAGTTCTTTCTCTGTTGAAGAAATACTCATCAACAGCCTATAAATATTATCTGCGATTTGCTTTTATGGTTTTCTCCGGGAAAATAGAAGCAACTCAAGAGCAAGGGTTTCAACTCTTTGTATTATGAGAGGGCAGATTAATCCCTGACACTCACAGAGTAGGCGCTCAGGACATTGTGGCTGGGTAGACAAATCAATCAGTGAATGACTTACAGAGCTATCAGGCTTTTGACACCTCAGGAAAAATTACTGCCCCTGGATGAAAGGCTCCCCTTGGGCAAATGATGTGCTTAAAGCTGGAGGGACATGCATGCGGTGAGTCAGAGTGAATTGCCTCTCTGGGGCAACTGCCTTTCAGTGTCTGCCAGCCTGGCTTACGTATTAACTGGTGACCAATGGGGGACTCCTTAGCCTATAATACTACTCTAATTATTAAGGGTAACATTAATACTTCATTTTTATTTACCGGAACATAGGAAGCTTATATTACATTTCTTCCAGTGGATGAAATGTTTTCATATTTTAAAAATATTTGATCCTTAAAAATAATAAATTTCTTTTATGCAGAATATTGAGCCTATTTTCAGAGGCTCTGCTATCATTGAATATTGTATTATGTAAACTTTTAGTAACAGTAACATCACCTATGGTTTTTGCCATATATAAATAACCATATCGCTTATAACCTAGAGACATATCACATTTACAAACACCCATACCATCGATGAGGTGTCGTTACAGGATCAAAACAGTGCACTGCTTGTGCTGTGGAGATCGTGAAGGCCTTAGTAACTGTTGCATAATTAAATATCATGCAGAGCTGACCCAGTTTCCTTCCTCCTGTAGGACATTTTGGCTGTGTCTACCATGGGGCTTTGCTGGACAGTGACGGCAGGAAAACCCACTGTGCTGTGAAATCCTTGAACAGTAAGTTGCTTCCTCCTAAGTTACTCAGCAGAGGAGGGCAGTTCTGTGGTCTGCAAACTCATGAAAGCTTACAAGAAAATGTTGATTCATACTGTCCCTTGTGGAAAAAATCAGCTACTGTTGAACTTCCGGATCCAAATCTGACATTTGTTTGATCTAGGGAAAGTCTTATTGGACTAGATTCTTATCAAAATTATCCCTCTGAGAGCAGCCCTCAGAGCCCTCCTTATTAGGGGTGTAGGAGGAGTGAGGCTCGTGGATGACCTGAGTATCGTTTAGTTGCGCTGGGCTTATGGTATTTGTTTTACAAGTGACATTCATGGAAACTACTGGAAGCACGTTGGCCCATACGATAATAATGACTCATTTGACCCTGAGGCATCACTGTAATTATATTTTAACCACAAGTTCCATTAAAATGATAAAAAATTAAATAAGACAAATAAGAGAGAAATGTGCTGGCAGAAAATTGAAATGTTATAAGCCTGGTAAGACCTCATTTATCCGCGTGTTTGAGGAATGAGTGGTCTGTATGTCTGAACTTTCTAAAGAAGCAAAACTTGCCCTCTTTTAATTCTGGAACATTTCTTAAAATTTTAGCTATTATTTATAAAATTTTTAAAGGGCCAGCTAGATAGCTGAGGGGTCGAAAGTACCTACTTAGGCAAGCTTAGGCAAGCGCAGGGACAGCGGTTTGATCCCCAGCACCGCCCCCAAGGCAGGTGGAGCCAGCCACAGACAAAAAAATCTTTTAAAGATGAAGTTCATACTCTGTGAAACGGAATGCTTCCACATAGAAACCAACTCCTTACTGATGACGCAGAGCCATAATTGTAACCATAAATTGCTGTGTTATACAGCGCGGTCTGTTCCACATACTAAGATGTCTCTGGCTCCACCTTTGTTGACAGAGCTCCCAGGCTTCCTTTTTCCTACTGAGCTCCCAGGCTTCCTTTTTCCTATTTTCAGGTCTAACTTTCTCTTTCTTTATTCACATGTTAGTGATACATTTATTGCAGAGACTGGAACACATCCGGGTCTCACTTTAGTCCCCTTCGCTTCCCTTTTCCTCTCTTCCCTGTAATCCCCCTCATCCTCAGATCCCTTTCCCATCTCCACAAAATCTGTCTTCCAGCTTCTTGTTGTTTTTGACTTTGCTCTTTCAATGATTTATTCTTTGGGTTTCTCATAATAGAAGCCATAGAGGGCCGGCCAGATGGCTCAGCAGATTAAAGCACCTGCTTAGGCAGACACAGACCGGGATTTGCTCCCCGGAGTGCTGTGCCAGCCCAGGCCCGCCCTCCCGGGGAAGAGGCACACTGAGCTGGGGATTGAGATTGGGTGTGGTGGTGCATGCCTGTAATCCCAGTGCTTGGGAGGCTGAAAACAGGAGAATCACTACAAGTCCAATCTATGTAGTGAGCCCCTGCAGACCCTGTACTAAATACAAAAAAAAAGAAGGAGAAAGAGACAGAAGCCATACAATAGCTTCCTGTGTCTAATTTTTTTCCTTAGCTTTATGGTCTAAACATGTATGCATAAGCCTGGGGGATAGCTCAGCACCATAAGTGCATTTCTGGAAAGTACAAGGTCCCGAGTTCCATCCCTGATGCCAAAAAAAATTTCTTTTAAAATAAAGGTGCAGAACTGGTGAGATTGCTCAGCAGACTAAGCATCTGCTTTGGCAAGTGCAGGGACCAGGGTTTAATCCCCAGCACCACATGCTGCACCAGCACTGCCCCAGGGCACTCTGAGCCAGCCACTGAGACTTGGCGTGGTAAAGCACCTGTGTAATCCCAGCACTGGGAAGGCTAAAAGCAGGAGGTCACCATAAATCCGAGCTGTGTAGTGAGACCCTGTAACAACCAAAAAGATAATAATAAAAGTGCGTTCATTTTCCAATCAGTAACTCAAATCCATCCTTTTTATGGCTGAGTAGTACTCCATTATATGTATACAACCTCTTTTTTAATCCAGTCCCATCAGCTTACAGGCATATAGGTCACTCTCAAGATTTAGCTGTTGTGCTGCTGTAAAGAATGGGTTTCTGTATATCACCACAGTCTGATGCCTTTAGCTCTCTCAGGAAGATACTGAGGAAAGAGTCCAGGGGAATGTTAAGTTTTAGTTCTATGAGGAATCTCTGTACTGATTTTCCTGTAGTGCTTGTACTAGGTTATATTGCCACCAGCAATGTTTCTGTCTATATTTTTCAACGTGGAATAGCCAGTCATAGTGCAGATTTCTATGAGAATTAATGGGCTTTAAATGCATGGTGCAAGGTTTCCCTGCAAGACATGTGCTACTGCCAGAACTAGGTCAGCCTCTTTAACTATAAACCTCTATGCTGAGTGCCGTTCTAGGTGGTTAGTTGGAGTGGAAGAGTCTGATCACAAAATACAGGGCAATCTACATGGAAAAGAACAGCACACTGTGACGGACTGCGTGTGGTGGTCAGTAAATTTGCCTCAGGAGAGAGTTGTACTCAGAAGAGTCCTCACGTCAGGAAACCTTTGTGCTTTGCTGTGTGTGTTGGGTTCTGTTCAGTGCATATTGACTGTGGGGATCTTCACCAGGCCTCAGAATGTATTTCGTTTGTGAAAGAATATCAGCACCATCCTGGGCACCAAATACGGTCTAGTGAAATTAATAAGTTAATGTTGCTAACTCTTCACTAACGCTAACTGGTACTGACCCCTCATTGTGTCACTCTGGAAATGATTAGAAACTACTATATTTAAATGTATCTACTTGTACACCATGTGCTGATAGGTCTTCAAATTCTCTCAGCCTGAGAATCAGGCAGTTGAGCCCCGCACCATTTTGGTGATGTTGACTGAGACACGGCCACTTACTGTCTGTCTGTCTGTCTGTCTGTCTGTACATTGCTTCTTTCATGGTTCTGCAGCAGAGTCTGGCATTTTCCTAGAGACCATGTGGCCCACAAAACCAGAAGCTATCTAGTCTCTGGCCCATTGTAGATTTGCCAGCTTGTGTCTCCACACTTTCCATGGAGCTTCTCTATATGAGACAGACGGAGAGTCTGCTTGAGCACCTGCTCACCAGCAGGATCTTGCAGAAGCAGCGCAGGTGGAGTGTGAAGGCGCAGGGTGACACTGTGGGGGCCCGGGAGGCCATGCCTCGGGTGTGGCGCCTGGGCACACGCTGAGTACTCTGAACTCTAAGGGAGAGTGAGGGGCCTCGCAAGCAAAAGCACTTCCTGGACCTTTCCTCCCGTCCTTGCTTCTCCTTTCTCCCCTGCTAGAGTTTCATAGAAGTAGGCCATAAAAGCTGTAGCCACTTTCTTCCAAAGCCAGCTATAACATCTAGAACTATTACTGTAACTGTCCTTCTGTTTGGAAGCTGAGCATAAAAAAATTATTTTTATTTTTTAAAGAGAGTACAGGGGTTCAATCCCCAGAGTGCCATGCTGGCCCTGCCCCTGGGGTACACTGAGACAGCAACAGATAGTGGGTGTGGTGGCATGCGCCTGTAATTCCAGTACTTAGGAGGCCAAAAACAGGAGGATCACTATGAGTCCAATCTGCCTAGTGAGGCCCTGTAGACCCTGTACTAACCACATCAAAAATAAAATAAGTGATGAAGAATTTTTATGAATTTTACAGTATTTGTTATAATACATAGTGTTGTCTTCCAACCAGTTATTCATATTACCAAATATATGCATGTAAAATTGGAAGAAGAAGAGAGAAATGTATAAGGAAAAGTACAAACAACTGAAAAAAGAGACAAATTAAAGCATTAACAGCTCCTTTCTACATACCAGCAGAAATGCATAGTACAGTGGTCCAAACCATCTTCTTTATATACATAGATAAATCTCCTTTCCCTACTCCCTCTCCTGTCCTCCTCAACTCAGTAACTCTTTCCTTTTGAATAAGTTCATTCCCTTTCCCCAGTCTCTATTGTAGCCTTCAGATTCCATTTTTCTCTTTCAGGTTCTCACACTAAGGAGACAATACGATGTTTGTACATGCAGGTCTGATTTATTTCACTTAAGAGTATGTTCTCTAGTTGCATCCATTTACCGAAAAAGATTCAAATTTATCCTGTTTTATAGCTGAATAATACTCCATTGTGTAAAAATAGCACATCTTCTTTATCCATTCGTCAGTTGATGGGCATCTGGGTTGTTTCCAGGATTTAGCTATGACACACTGTGCTGCTATAAACACAGGTGCACATACATCACTGTGGTGTGAGGTTTTCAATTCTTCTGGAAAAATACCCAGGAAGGAAACAGCTGGCTTGAATGGGATCTCCGATCCTAGCTTTTAAAGGAATCTCCACACTGATTTCCTCAGTGGTTGTACCAGTCTGCACTCTCACCAACAGTGCAGAAGGGTTCCTTTCCTTTGTTTCCTAGTTTGCCTTTGATATTCTGGGTCTCTTCTGGTTGCAAATGAATTTGAGGAAAGTTTTCTCTAGCCCTGTGAGATATTCTAATGGTATTTTAAGTGGGATTGCATTGACTCTGTATAGCAATTTTGGGAATATGGCCATCTTCACAATGTTGGTTCTTCTTATCTAGAAGCATGGAGTATTTTTCCATTTTCTCAAATCCCCTTCAAGTTCTTTTCTCAGAATACTGTAATTATCGATGTAAACATCTTTTACATCCTTTGTGAGATTGATTCCTAAGGGGTTTTTTCTTTTTTTTTTTTTTTTTGAATGTTATTGTGAAAGGCATGGTGTCCCTAATTTCTCTCTCAGTGTGTTCATTGTGTACAAAAATGCTACTGATTTTTGCATGTTGACTCTGTATCCTATTCTCTGAGCTGCCTCATCTGGTGGTAGCTCATATCCTGTACCCAGGCAGAAGGAGTGTTACACAGAAACACAAGAAGAGTCAGAACACAGGCCTGGCTGGGCCTCCCCCTCAGTTGGCCAGCAGTAGATCACATCACATTTCTGCACACCTGCCTGCCTTCATCGCATCCCAGTGAAAAAGGACCATTTCTTGCAAGCTTAGAGCCGTTTGGATCTTATAGAACAGATTTTTGTCTCACATATTCCCCTTTTAGGTATCTTCCCAAAAGAGTTAAAGTCACCAAATTACAATGAGACCTGCACACCCATGTCTAAAGCAATATGATTTATAAGAGCTAAGTCCTGCAGACAGTCTAGATGTCCATCAGTATAGACTGTTGGCAGGACTTAGCTCTTATGAATAGGTGTTTTTAAATGTGTTATTTAGACACAAGCAAGTACTACTGTGCCATGAAGGAGGATAAACTGGAGGCATTTATAGGTAAATGGATGTACCTTGATACTGTAATATTAAATGAAATACATCAGACACACAAGCTTAAATATCACATGATTTCTCTTAAATTAAAAACCCATATAAAGGTCAAGATAAAAAACAGATAATAGGAAGTAAGATCTTTTGCAAATGGGAATGGAGACAAAAGCAGGAGGGAGATGGAAAGGAATGAACAAATTAATTGAAAGAAAAAAAATAAAAATAGAACTTTGGGGAATGGGCAGGCGACCAAGAGGTGGGGGGCGAGGGAGGGCCGTGCAGAACGGGGAAGAAAGTAGAACTGAGGTGTTACATGCCCGCAGAGCTTCCACGACCAATGGGATCAGCATGCTCTGCAAGTGTGCACTAAGAAAAAAAACATTAATTAAATAAATCTTTTTCTGTTGTTAACCTGCCTTTAGTTGAAGAGTTTCAAGAGTAGCTGGGGTGATAGCTCAGCAACATAAGCTCCTGCCTGGCAAGAGCAAGGTCCTGAGTTCGATCTCTGGTACCAAAAAAAAAGATTCCCAGCCGTGCCGCTCCCAGGGCCTGAGGGGGTGTGCGCACACCTTCTGCTCCCGGGGGACTCACGGCTTCCGTGCTGTTGCAGAATGTGAAGTTGAGACCAGTGGTTTTGTATTTTGTTGGGCTTCTTTTGCAAATTTGACAAAGCAACCACTGTTCTGTGATAACTATTCTATCCCTCCTGCCCCCAATTTCTCAGGAATCACTGACATAGAGGAAGTTTCCCAGTTTCTGACCGAGGGAATCATCATGAAAGACTTCAGCCATCCTAATGTTCTCTCCCTCCTGGGCATCTGCCTTCGAAGTGAAGGGTCTCCGCTGGTGGTCCTGCCATACATGAAGCACGGAGACCTTCGCAATTTCATTCGAAATGAGACTCATGTAAGTATATTCTCGAGCCAGCCGTGCCTTCAGAACATGCTGGCTTTGAGTCGTTTACAAAGCTGCTAGCCAAAGCCATTTATGTAGAACATGACTCCTTGGAGCCTTTGTCCTGCTGGCGTGATGTGGTGCCTGCAAGGGTGTCCTGGGGCAGTATCCTACCTGCTCAGCTAGCAGCCCCGCTCCACCACCCAGCTTGTCCATTAAATCACCTTCCAGCGCTTACTATGCATCAGGAACTAGGGATCGTGGGGCAGATGGAGATCTAACAGGGTTTTAGCAGAGTCACCTGGAGCTGTAGCTCCAGGAGACGCGAAGAATTAGTTATGCACCAGGGCCCTCCTGTCCTTCTGCTCGCCGCCCTCGCACCTACCTCAGGACCTTTTCACTTGCCACTCCATCTGCCTAGAGCACTCCTCCCTCAGCCCTCCACACATCCCTCTCCATCGTGTCCTTTAGCAATTTGTCCTAAAGTCTTCCTCAAATTGAGGCTTCCCTGATCTTTTTAACGTTGTAACTGGCCCACTCCGATCATCTTGCTGTGGTCTGTCTCCTGGCTTTACTGTCCTCCTTGATTCTACCCTGCGATACAGTGTGCCTGAGCTATCCAGTACCATGACACAGAGCTCCTGCGTACTGTCACAAGTTCAAATGAAGATGTCCTGTAAGGGCAGAGCACATAACATGGAGAATATTTAGTATAACAAACTAAGGTATCTGATTAATAATTGTTCATATTGATTACAAGTTGAAGTAATATATTAGATGTGTTGGGTTGACAAATACATTAAATTAATTTTACCTTTTTTTACTTTACATATATGCGTGCTGCCTATGTACGTGGACACACATGCCGTAGGATGCAAGCCCACGAGGGTGGGGAATCTTGGTGTATTTGTTCGTTTCTATAGCTCCACAGCCTAAGATAGTTTCCGACTCAGAGGCTGTCAGTAAATATTTGCTGAATAAATGAGCTCGGGGTTACAAAAGAAGATTGTGAGCTCTTGCAAGTGGGACTTTGCTTTATGACATTTTTATGCCAGGACCTAAAGGGTGAACAAATGTTTGCTAGGCCGGGACCAAGGAATTGGTGGGGGAGGGAGGGGAGTCCCCAGAACTGAGTTCATCCATGGCTCCAGGCTCCTTCTTGGTTCCCTTATTCCAGATCTCTGGAAATCAACAGAATAGCGTTGATCAGACACCTTTGGAAACATGGTGTCAAGTTCTGAAAGAAAATAAGCTTGGGGCCAGGGAGATGGTACAGTAGAATAAGCACTTGCCTGGCAAGTGCAAGGGCCTGAGTTCAATCCCCTGTTCTGCAAAAAAAAAAAAAAAAAAAAAAAAAAAAAAAAAAAAAAAAAAAAAAAAAAAAAAAAAAAAAAGCTCAAGATAAGTTGTGTTCAAGCAAAAGAATAAAACAATTCACTCTCGGTGAATTTTTGCCAATGACGTCCATTCCCTTGCATAGTGTGAAGCTCCCCTGAGAGATCCTACTTTAACTCCTGCCACTCCCCTGCCCCGCTCAGATGCTGCACTGCCTTCTCGGCAGTACTGTTTAATTCCCTAGGGTTGAAGCACAGAATCATCCGATAGAGCATAGTACTCTGGCCTTTCATAACCCGAGGAGGAGTACACTGTGCATCAGGGGGGTGGCAGCCCATCGCTGGGCCCCTCCCACTGTGCCTTGTGCCCACCAGCTGCGCAGTGACCCTTGCTGATGACCAGGCCTTCATCAGGCTGTTGGCCACAAGGTCATCTTTACTAAAGGTGTGTGTCCAGTTCTGTGAAGGGGGTCACAGAGAATGAGCCATCCTGTTCTCTCTGCTGGCCCAGAATTTCAGGAGCTGAGTCTGGGGAGGTGAACTTCTCCTTAACAGCTTTCACAGAGGAGGGTAAAATCCTAGCTGCGCCACTTACGTCTGAGTGGCGTGGCGTGATTTACTGCTCTGTAAGGCCCTGTGTGTGTTTCTCATGGTTTGACCTCTGAAGCCTGCTAACCCTGAAGGTTCTGCTATGCCCAGGGCTGATTCCTAGAGATTATAAACAACTTGCCTTCTGCTTTGTTTGTTTGTTCTTTGCGGTACTGAAGATAGAACTCAGGACCATACACTTGCCAGGCAGGTGCTTACGGCACTGAGCTATCTCCCAGCCCTCACCTGCTTCCTGAATATGTATTTCATAGATGAACCAACCACTTTAGCACCCACACTTCAGCCACTGCACCTGCCCTGGTCATTCCACTGCCAGCTACTGGACAAGAAGGGAGAGCCTTGCTCCCCTCTCCAGAGCTTACAGAAATTAGTCCAGGTAACCAATCTGAAACTGGCTTACCCTGCCTCACCTTTGCTTCCTATGGAAACCACAGTAGAGACCTCTACTACAGCAGGAGGCCTCCCTCCTGCCTCTCCTGTTCTCTCTGCTTCTGATTGTCTCCTGTGCTTTCCCACATGACCCTGCGTAGCTGGACATTCCCCATCATCTTAGACTATCCAACTGTGGTCAGCAGCAGTGGTCTCCCGACCTGTTGGCCTCATCGTTCTTGAGAGATAAGAAGACCTTGGAGCTGGGGATGCAGCTCAGTGGTACAGCCCTTGCCTAACTTGCATGAAGCCCAAGGTTCAGTCCTCAGCACTGCAAAAAAAACAAAGGGGAGGTGGAACATAAAACTCTCCATTATGAAATACTTCATTTTTCAGATGAAATGTGGAGGCTGTAACACCTTTACAGGCGTGTGTAAGAATTGGTCATAATTCATAAGAACATCTAGCCTAGTGCTTTGTATATAGTGAATATTGAACAAGTACTTGGTGCTACCAGTGGGCGCTAGTTATCTGAGACAAGGTACTTCAGGGTCTGAAATCAGAGTTAGAGCACTGGGTTCTGAGCGGCTTAATTTACACTTCTCCAACTCTTTGTTTGCAGAACCCGACCGTGAAAGATCTTATAGGCTTTGGTCTTCAAGTAGCCAAGGGCATGAAATATCTTGCAAGCAAAAAGTTTGTCCACAGAGACTTGGCTGCAAGGAACTGTATGTGAGTATGGGAAGCTCAGCAGCCTCAGCTCCGTAGTGGCCCGGTGCTGGCTCCCACTGTGCAGGCCAGGGTGTTTTCTCTTCTTATGCAAAAATCCTTTATTTCCTGTACTGTTTTAAATGGATGTATAAGCCCCAGGCATGGGGGGGGGGGGGCTTTCGGGCTTTATCAAACAAAGAATGTAAAAGGTTGCTCTTTAGGGGGTCTTAAACAGCTGTTGTGCACGCTTGCATTTCTTGGCCCTTCCCACCAGCAGCCCCAGTGTTGTGGTTTCACACTGCATTAGGGTTTGGGAGGGAGAATTTGATCTGCAGCATTTCCTGGTGGAAAGGAGAGGGCTAGTAACACGGACACCAACAGAATGTCACTGCCCAAGAGTCCATTTCAAGTCGGCCTGCAGAAGCCCTACCAAAAATGGCATTTGGCAGTGAATAGACAAAGAACTTTTATTTGTGTCTGACTCCCTGGCTGTGTGATGCAACAGTCAACAGTTTGTAATTCAGAGCTTTCCCTGGCACAACCCTGATTCATGACTTATGGCATGTGTGAATGAAAGAACGGGCTATTAATTCTCTACCGCGGTTTTGGTCCATTGGCACCATAAAAGTCACTTAAGCACAGAGTACTGATCCAGTTCACAGAACCTCAGTTTGCTGAGATGCTTTACAGAACCCCCTGTTTCTCCGTTGCCTCAGTGGTGTGAGATCTGGGTTCTGTGTCCTGACCTACTCTGTTGGAGAATAAAAGCTAAAACAACGCCCCATGTCCTGCGCCTCCCATGAGACTACATATTGTCAGTATGTTCGCCAGTGAAGATCGGTGATTTCTGCGGGTAGGCAGTTGCCGCGCTCTGTTTAGCAACCAAGGAAGGCTGAGAGGGAGCCAGCTTTCCTTCTTCTCCAGCTCTAGAGAAGAGCAGCACTGGTATTTGCATGCCATGTCATGAGTGACCGCCCTGCTCGGCCAGTTGAATTTGTGATGTAATTCTTTTGCTCAAGAGTTCTGGGGGAATTCAGCATTAGTCAATAGGCCAGAGGAAACACTCCCTTCCAAAGTTAGAGATGTCTAATACTGGTGCCACTTGTTCTGATCCGGAGATCTGCACCACCATTTTAAGTTAGTTATTCTGTTGCAGACAGCAGTAATAATTTTTGGTCTTCCTGCAGGTTGGATGAAAAATTCACTGTCAAGGTTGCTGACTTCGGTCTTGCCAGAGACATGTATGACAAAGAGTACTACAGTGTGCACAACAAGACAGGCGCGAAGCTGCCAGTGAAGTGGATGGCCTTAGAAAGTCTGCAAACCCAGAAGTTTACCACCAAATCAGACGTGGTAATACATTGGTGTTTCTCCTGGTTTTCATTCATAGCCGTCATTTCATGGTAATTTAATTAGTAAAAGAATTCAACACCACTAATTTCAGGTATCTTTAAACATAAGAGTTGGTCGTCTGACAAATACCTAGAGTATATTTTCATAAATCTACTTGTTTGATCAAAAACATTCAGGATGCGGAGCGCGGCGCTGGTTCCCTCTGGTGTGGTGCCGTCTGGGATTGGTAGCGCCTCGCGTAGCCCGCTGCCGCTGCTGCGCATTGCCCCCGAGGTAGCCGGAGGCGGTAGCTGAGGAGGTCTCGGTGAGGACGCGAGCTCGGCACCTGCCTTGGAACGTTCCCTTGCTTCTCTGCAAAGGCCTCAGGCCTGTCAGAACAGGCTTCGGAACTTGAAGGTTAACACAATAAAGTTACTAGAATAAGTTGTGAGATTTTTCAGGCTGTGGAAACTTCAGTTTTGGTTTGGGATTTTGTGTTATTGTTTTGGTTTTTGTTCTTTGAGGGTGCTACTGGGGATTGAACCCAGGGCCTCGTACATGCTAGGCAAGCGGCATCCCCAGCCCTTGGAATCTTCAATTTTAGAAGGTCAGATGAAGTAGCCATTTGGATCAAGGGATTCAGTGGCCTGAAAGGGCTGTGCCCCGGGAAACGGCAACGAGCCGTTAATCGAGCTTTTTTCAGCAACAACCATATTTATCTCTTCCTTTCAATCACAATATTCAGAGGCATTTTTTGATCTCCAAGTTTCATTTTTTCAGCGGCTCATGTCCCCCTCCATGTGCTTCTTAGCCTGAAAGTGACCAGGAAGGTGTCACCCAGCCAGAATTGAGTCCCATGTTCTCCTTGGCATACATTCAAGAGGAGATGATGCGGAAGCCTGAGCGATTCTGAGTCGTGCTTTATTTATGTACTTGGTACAGGGTCTCGCTATGCAGCTCAGACTCATAGTGATCCTCCTCTCTCAGCCTCCCCAGCGCTGGGATTGCAGGCGAGGGCCACCATGCCCAGTTCCCAAGCAGTCCTTTAAACCAGCAAAGTGCACATTTAGTGAAGTGCAGGAAACTCAGCAAGATCCAAGGCTCAAGAATTCCAGCATGACTTCAGATATACTGGGGAATCTTAGCAAGTCGCTTAGCCTCTGCGTCTTTGCGGTCTTCCCTTAAAGTACTGACACAGCTGTTTTATATTAATCTAATGTTTTGACATTTTCAAATTACAATTTAATTGAAATTAGTTCTCACTGTGTAGCTTTGTTGCCCAGCAGTTTTATTATTTCTGATATTTAATATAAATTTTCCTTATTAACATTAACATCTAGATATGGTTACATTTCTTAAAAAGTGTTTATATCATTTTGAAATCCTACAAATTTAAACACTGGAAAGTTTTCTTTATCTTCTCTTACTAATAGCTAAAATTGTAGGAAAAATACTGAAAGAGAGGATAGAAACATATTTGTGCTTTCAGATTTTATTTACTCTTTCAGGTTCTCACATGAGTGAGACAATACGATGTTTGCACATGTGGGTCTGATTTATTTCACTTAACACAGTCTCTAGTTGCATCCATTTATCTACAAAAGCCTCAAATTTATCTTTTTTATACCTGAGTAGTACTCCATTGTGTAAAAAGACCACATCTTTTTTATTCGTTCCTCAGTTGATGAGCATTTGGGTTGTTTCCAAGATTTTGCTGTGAAATTGAACTGCTAAATACATTTCCGTATATTCTTTTTTTTTTTTTTTTTTTTTGTTCCTCGAATGCCTTCAGGGCACTTTCGGCCAGCGGGAGAGTTGTGAGGTTCGAACTCCAGCAACCTGAGGCTGACAGCTTTGTGGAAGCAGCCACTTAAAGGACTGAGCTAGGGCCAGGCCCCATTTCCATGTATTCTTTTGTACCCTAAAATATGCAGATTGTGGAAATTAAAAAATAATAAAATTCTAATTTTCCTAATTAATCACCAATGATCCAGAAAAGGTTAAAAAAGCATGTTAATGGTTAAGTAAAATCTTTTTTTTTTTTTTTTTTTTGCAATGCTCACTACACCCACATACCATAACTTCTTTGATAAAACCCATTTTTCTCTTGTTTTCTTTCATACTATTTAACAATAAGCCCTCTTGCGGAAAGGAAAGGAAAAGAAAGAAAAGGAAAGGAGAGGAAAGGAAAGGCACGGAACACTGGTGCTTTGACCATAGCTACAGGAGTGAGCTTAGAAAATGTACTCCATGAGCTATAAATGAAATTTTATTCATCATATAACTTCAAATATTCTTTTGGAAAACTACACGTACTTATAATCTGGACAATCTCTGATGCTGTCTGAAGCAGGTCATGAAATGTGTATCATGTATCGTGAAGTGTGATCATCCTTAAGGCAATTTTCACCCAGGCAACGGATAGTGTTGACTCTGGGCAGCAGGTCTGCCAGCAGGACCCTTCCTGTCTTCCGCCTGTGTGGCCACACTTCCTCACCTGCGTCTCCTGTCTCTTGTTGCTTAGTGGTCCTTCGGCGTGCTCCTGTGGGAGCTGATGACGAGAGGGGCCCCCCCGTACCCAGATGTGAACACCTTCGATATCACGGTGTACTTGTTGCAAGGCCGAAGGCTCTTGCAGCCCGAGTACTGCCCGGATCCCTTGTAAGTAGGCATCCGCACAGGCTCCTCTGGTCCCTTGTGTCCCCTTCCTCGGCAGGAAGTACTTGCGTTCCAGGGCTCCTTCCCGTGGTCCTCACAGTGTTTCTTTCCGAAACAGGTACGAAGTGATGCTAAAATGCTGGCACCCCAAAGCTGAAATGCGCCCGTCCTTTTCTGAGCTGGTCTCCAGGATATCGAGCATCTTCTCCACGTTCATCGGGGAGCACTACGTCCATGTGAATGCTACTTACGTCAATGTAAAGTGTGTTGCCCCTTATCCTTCTCTGCTGTCATCGCAAGAAAACATCGACGCTGACCTGGGCACGTGATGAGGGGGAGCCCGGCCCTTCTGGGAAGCGTCACAGTACGAGCCCTAACAACGGTCCACGTTTTCTACAGGTCTCCACTGCCTGGCCCCCAAAAGGCCCAGACAACTTTTGCTTGTCAAAATTACACCAGGACTGGATTTTGTACTGTTATTTCAATCACTGGATTCTAATTTGTCCTCTGACAAAAACATAAGAACCAGAGACGTGTTTCCACAGGCATGTGACCGTGGACAACCCTGCAGCTGTGACGACACTCCTGTGATACTGGAGTCGACAACCAGAAATCTGAGTTGATGCAGCGAATTTTGAGGGCTCCTTACAAAAAATTCCAGAGATGGTCTTGTTCAGGGCAGGCCCAGCAACCCCAAGACCAGGCCACTCGGGATTTCACTGTTTTCGGAGCTCTTTTCTATGCTGTGTGGTCACAGACACTTTCATTGCCAATGTCATCTGCCTGTAGGCAAACATTCCCTCCTAGATCCTCTTATATACATTCCTTTGGCTGGAAAATATCCATAGACATTGAAGTCAAGTTACAACATAGCATGACACAAGATGTGTTTACAGATTAGTTGGGGTATTTATATACTGTATGCAGAAAATGTTAACAAATTTTCATAAAATAGTTTAGTCACAAGGACCTATGTAGTTGTCATTCTAAAGCCAACTGTTTGATACTGTTCTGGTGTAATTAATGTGGACATTTGGAAATTTTATCTGTATTTTTATGACAGCTCTGAAACAGACAAGTAATTTGTGATGATAAATATTTTTAAAGGTAAGTCAGTGTGTTTTTAAAGAAGCATACAATTGACGAAAGGTCCATTGCTCCCACCCGTGGCTAGTATGCAGAACAAAAGAGCTCAAGGGGCTGGAAATAGTAACCTCTTTCTCGGGCGGCAGCTTCCCACCTGATGAACTTTTAGGAACAAGCTTTTGGAGAGTCCAGTTTTATATTATGACTGGTTTTGTGGTAAGCAAAATACATCCTAGAAACCAACAAACAAGTGAACAAGGCAACTGAAAACCCTGGCTATTTCACTTGAGCGAACAGTGATTGTGGGCAGGACTTCCGTATTGTTTTGTTCTGTGGAATTTGTGCTGACTACTGTAGAGTGCATTGGCATAGGTTACTCTAGCTGGTTTTGTCAATGTGAACATTAAAAGTATTATATTTTTATAAAAATGTTTATTTTTAAGGATAGAAAACATTTCTTTAGGCCGTAAAATCCTGCACTGTGAACACTGCGGCACAGGCATGTGTGACTCGGATTCATAGCAGCGTGATTGTAAATGGCTGTGAACGCTGATACGGAAACACCGACGGCCAGGGCACCCCGCCCTCGTTGCGTCACCAGGACGTGGAGCCAGGGGCTCGCAGGGAGGCTCCAGCCAGGGTGTGTTACACTGAAACCCAAGAGTTGAGTTCGGCTGTGTTGCAGGAAAATGATTGCAACCAAAGGCCTTTGGCCATGGGGGGACTTGCCGGAAGAGAGGAGGAACCGTGCCGCAGAAATACTTCAGGGCAGACAGTACTACTTCATTAATGTGAAGAGTAATACTAATTCACAAGTATCGTAAGTGATGAATTATCAAAAGAATGTATGCTCCGCAGAGAAATACCGCTCTGTGTGAGATCAAGAAAACGCATGTTACGGGAACAGAGAGCTGGTGGAACACGCCGTCCTCCAGGCTGCGCACTTGTACATACCTGCTTGAGAAGGCCGCAGTGTGGAAGTCGTGTTTGCTATTTATGAACTTGTCCTTAGGTTACCGCGTCTGGAAGGACTGTGGGAGTGAGTTTTCTAAGAATTAGATACTTAGCACTGCCCATAGCTGCAATTCAGCTGAATGGTACTTTGTGTGTTAATAGTTGTTCTGATAAATCATACAGTTAAAATAAAGTGATGTAACATCTTGTACACTGAGAGCCGTGTATTACTAGCCGTGCGTGCTTACCTGCTTCACTTACATGGTGACAGAGGAAGCCTGGATTGAGTTCACCTGGCTGCTCGACGCGCCTCCCGGGCTGAGCACTTAGTCAGCGTAATGCACAGACTGGAGCTAGGACTGGCCTCCCTGAGTTCTGAGGAGGCCCTGTCTTCTCTAAGAGGGGCTGATGCCAGGTCGCAGAACTGCCTGCAGTTTCCTGACAGTATTTCAGCTGCCAGAGCACCTGGTCCCTATGCTAGCATAGCACTGTCCTCCAGGAAAATGTGACGGAAGCTAAAGACGACAGTGGCCCAGAAGACAAGACAGCGGCCCTTAGAGCAAAAGATCCGACAGTGGGGCCCTAGCTCCACTGTGGCCGCCCAGGTGGCTACCTGGGCGGTGGGAGTGAAGAGAGGCGGCCTTCTTGCCCCCACAAAAGCCGTCCTTCCCGTCAACACGCATGTTCACCCTCTGACTCATACCAGAGGAATAACTTTCACATATCCTCACATATAATTTATAATGGTAAAGAAAATGAAGGAGTATTTTAGCCATTTAAGAATTATGTAGTACTTTGGGGAAATCTGATTAATAAAAGATGCTTACAAAAATATAGTAGGGGCTGATTCTTTACTACTAGAAAATTCTATCTCTGTACCCAGCCAAACTTCCTCCCAGATAACAGATACATGACATAAAAGCTCAATCATTCTGTGCCCCATAAAGGCACAAACCTGCCATCTTTGTACCCTAGTGTCTAACGCTTGGTAAATTCTCAAATAAGTGCTACACCTGAGTGGCAGCTTCAGAGCCTCCGTCATTGTAAACCACCACAGAAGAAGGGTATTGCTGACGTAGTGGCGTACCCTGACATGACCCGGAGCGGGGAATCGGAGCCTTCTGGAGAGAGGAGTGAAGAGCATTCTTCTACAAATTTTGCTTCATGTTTTGAATCTTTAATTGCCTTGTAGAAATTAACTTTCCACTTTCTGATGGAGGCATATTTTCACTTTCTGGTCTACAGGACAGATTCCATCCCTAAAGAAATAAGGATATGAGTAATGTATAAAAATGTATGTTGAGGGCGGGGAGATAGCTCAGTAGAATAAGCACTTGCCTGGCAAGCGCAAGGTCCTGAGTTCAATCTCTGGTACCATAAAGAAAAAAAATGTATGCAGAGTACTAAAATCTTGCATTGTTGACCTGCCTGCTTTAGTTCAGGACTTAAGAATATTAGGTCAAGGAAATTGGTTTATTTAATGTAAACAGTTATCAGGCACCTGTATATGTTAGACCTTGTGCTGAGTAATGGAAAATAAAATTATCCTTTTCACTCCAAGTTTTTAATGGAAGAGTCACAAGATCACACAGTTCGTGAATGTGAGAACTGTACATCCCTTATGTCTATAAAGTGTTTCGAAGAAGCATCACAGTTTAAACATACTAAAAATACAATCCTGTGAGCAAAGCCCCCAAGCCGGACGATGCATTGAATCTTATTAAACCTGCTTACTTACAAGGCTGTTTAAAAATAAATAAGTTGAAAACCACTTGAAACATTATAGTTTCTAAATAATTGCAGTATTACTTTTTTAAAAAATGTATTTGGTACAGGGTCTCACGATGGAGCTTGGACTCATAGTGATCCTCCTGTCTCAGTCTCCCCAGCGCTGGGATTACAGGCATGTGCCACCACTCCCAGTCTCAGTGACTGGGTCAGCGCACCCAAGGGCGGGGCCGGCGCAGCATGTGGTGCCAGGGATCAAGCCCCAGTCCCCGCACTTACCTAAGCAGGCGCTTAGTCTACTGATCTCTCATCCCAGCCTAATATCTTTAGGACAATAAAAGTACATGTAAAGGTATTGGGTGGTTGGTCTGAGAGGAACCTTACAGATGTTTAAATCCAAACCCTTACCTCACACTTCAGTGTGTGTGGTAGAAACAGCTACAATTTTTCTCATCCTTGAGCACAGATTGATAGGACAGTAATGCTCGCAGATAGGAAGAGTGACAAGACAGTGACAGGGTGGTGGCACCTTTGCCTTAAGCGCAGGACACCTGAAGACATCCCCATCTCTTCTTTCTCTGAACACTCTGCTGCTCCTTTAGTGGCTTTGGCAATGACCGATTCTGCTTCTTTTGGTCTTCACACTTAGAGTGTACACTAGGCATGGACAGGGACAACCTGAGTTACAGGACCATTGGATGAATGTGCAAGGGTGGGAGTCACAGTCCTCGAAAATGGAGGCTAGGAATTATTGCTCCGTATTTTGCTCTTATTAAGTGGGTAATGGTAACTCAGATTCAGGCAGAAGTCCGGCGGCCGCTGGATTGTTGCAGCTGAATGCTACGTGTGCAGTCTCATCTTCCTGAGGACACACGCGGTCGCGGACACAATTCATTCCTGTGACACTTTAGACAATTTCAGGACATTGAAAAGACATGCAAATAGTATTGCCAGAGAGAGAAACACTTACTGCTGTTTTCTCTTTTCATACTTGACCTCTTCCTTCAGAACTATCTCAATTCCTTATCTATCAAAACACTAGGAAGAACTTCCGTCATAGGGCAGTGAATTATTTCAGCTGGTGAATTGAAAGCAATAAAATAGGCTTGCCCAAACTGTCCTTTGTTGTAAATTACACCGGAGGCCAGATTACGTCAGCCAGAGGTATTGATCACAGCACTGAGAGGTTTATAACTACTATTGACTTAGCATGCGACCCTGGAGCAGAAATCTAAGCAAACTGCAAAAGTATATCCATGGGATGAAAAGCCCACCATGAATAGGACACAATCCCCTGCATTATTTTGGCTTCAAGGCCAATATTTAATAAACGCTGGAAATAGAATAAACTTCTGTTGCCTTCTTTTTCTCCACTGACTTTCTGAGCTATTTGATGAATAAATTTTCCTTTTGATCAATAAAAAGTGCAGGTTTTTAAAAAGCTCATGTTATTAGTCCCCATAAAATTAGTATCCAAACATGCAAAGAGCCCCTAATTTATTATCATTTTCGTAAAGAGCCACAGTTCTCCCAGATGGATGAATTTAGAATGGACTTCAGATCCTACAAGGAGCAGGTAAGCCTACTTGGGCATTTTGAAAACCAGGTAGCATTCACGAAGCAGTTCTGAGATGAAAGGGCCGCCTGTTGGATGCATGAAACAGAGATTTCGAGTTTACATAAATTGCTATTATGTGAAGCCCTGGGCTCAGATTACGGTGATAATTAATTTTTATCCCTTTCTTGAAGCCCTGTGTGTTTATGCATTCAGTGTTTCATTGTCACGGGAGCACATTCTTTCCACCACACGAGCTCCAGGCTGGCAGAAACCTCCTCTAATCCTTAGCCCTCTTGGCTGGAGTAACAAAAATGCGTAAAATCTTACCAGGGCAAAAGAGATCAACTTTAAAAATCTCTGGCATTCAAACATTTCAGAATTATTTTTCTGCCCAAACCATTTGTATTCTTCACTTATGGTCCATGGGACCTGTAATATCAATTCCTGCTTTTATTGGGCAGCCTTAAGTTTTTAAGCACATTTCATCCACCTTTCATGATCGCTTGTGATTTTCACAGTGGTTTTCTGAATTTTTTTCTGTTTCTAATTGTTTTTCCCCCCATGCTGAAGAGCAAACCCAGGGTCACAAGGATGGAGGGCAAATGCTCCACCACTGTTGCAGGCAGCTGAGCTAGACAGACATACAGGCAGGCAGACAGGGCCAGGCCCTCAAGGAGACAGTATGGAAGACAAGAGGGCTTTGAAACTTTGGGAGAGACAGTCCCCTGCTGTGGGCCGGACCTCAAGAGGAAAGACTAGACAGATGCAGCCACATGCCTCCCTACTAGGCATCCAGGATTGATATTCTAAACGGGTCTCTCACCTTAAGGAAGCCTGGAAGTCAGTAACCCAGCCCCCTACAGGAAAAGCCCCTGTTCTGTATTCATGCACGCTTGCTATGCCTGTTTGCTACATGACTCGCTTCCCCATTTGGTCCTAGATTTAATGTTTCACCTGAGCAATTGTGCTTGTAATCTTATTGGTTGACCATAGTTTTGTCCCACCTCGTGGCCACCTAGCAAGTTCCCATGTTTTCCACCTTCAACCACCTCACCTCATAGTTTTACCCTATAAAATCTCTGGAAGACAGCTCTCTGCGCAACCCGCTCGCACCGCACCCCCCTTCTGTCTCTCTTGGACAGAAGCTTTCTTTTCTTGAATAAATATATTCTGCTGTTAGCCTCCATTGTTCCTAAAATCCATTCTTCAGTTTTAGAGAGCAGGACCTCGGCCCAGGTATCTTTCAGGTTGGGGGTGTCAGTCCCCTCTGTCACCACTGAACTCAGCCCCTCTCTCATCTAATTCTAAGAGGGGGAAGAAGTAGAAATGAGCACTGGCCACGAAGCCCTCTCTTTGGCATTTGCCACTTTGTTCCTGTGACATCTACTCTTTCCAGTAGAGTCAAGCAGGGGCTTTCCTTTTCCAGGGTCCTGACTGCACAACCATTGTATTCATCTGTGCCAACGCTGTAAACAAGAAATGTCAGAGTCGGAGCCTTTGTGAAATCCTGCCCCCAAGAGGGCACACTTCAGTCACGTGGTCCTCAGAGACAATTTTACAAATCTCAAAAGAGAAAAATTACAGAGAAACCCAAATAGCCTACTGTGATACTGTTGCATGCCATTTCTAATTTTTTTTAAGCTATGAGAAATAAGCAGAATTTTAATTCACGTCAGTGGTGACTAGAGGGTCTATAGACACCCCCAAGTGCATAAACACCCAACCACTGTCCCACGGAAATTTTTTACTTATTAATACATGTTTGCAGCACGTACATTTTACAGTCTTGCTGGAGAGTTGGTACATATACATAACACACTTTCTTTTTTTTAATCTCCTCTAATTCTTTTTTCTCCCTTTTCATTCTTGTTGATAGTATTAGCCTTAGTTCACGTTTATGGCATACAATATCCACACTCATTGAGGTTAGGAT